GTTTATATCATACCCGGGCCGCGATAACGTTCGATAACGGGTTCCAGACCGGGCCGTACTTTACGGTACGGCCCGGTCCGGAACCCGTTATCGAACGCTTCCATGGCTTCCATAAAACGATTCGAACGCGTTTCGTCCTAACCGCTTGTGCCCCTTTCGAAAATTCGAATACAGAATCCGGACGTTGGAATTGATGTTGTTGCATTTTAGGGTTCAGTGGCACCAACTTTTGGCTCATCTTGCATTGAAAGGCGTGTTTTCTTGGGTGGGTATGACATAAATAAAATACAACACGGTGTATTCCGCATCGCCCTCGGTCTCGGCCCTCCCGCGAGTCGGATCGCCCTCCGGCCTGCGGCCGTCGGGCGATCCGACGCGCGGTCGGGCCGATACCTCGGGCGATACGGAATACCCCGTGTTGTATTCTATATATACAGGACAGTGGTAGGTGTACGTGGGTACCTAGATTGGACGTGTATCTACAAGTTGACTTCGCAAACAGACACGGTCACTTAAGCCGGGCGTCTTCACACTAGACTGTTGGTACAACCGGCAGCGTTATTAGCACTTTACCGCTGACCTGAACTGTACGGATGGCCCCTAGACAAGCCGACCATGTCTGGGTGGGACGGTTGTTTGAAGTAAGCTTCTGTAGTAAACATTTTTGAGGGATCTGGTAATCCGGTGTTTAGGGTAGTACAGGCCATTGGCCCAATCCCCCCTAACGACATTACTTCTATATGAATCCCAATCGCAACGACTACGAATCAAAATCATGATCCACTTCCTGAAATCAGTGTTACATCTTCAGACCTAAGCTCAAAACGTTTATATTAAGCCTTTTTGTTAGCCGAGGATGATCTAGGATTAAAGGCCTTAAGCCTACAAAACCATACACTCATTGTGTATTGTTCAAGCTCATTCACTGTCCAAATGTCTATTTTGTTTGCATGAATGAGAATCGTGTAGAGTGATGACAATGGTTTCGTTCACCTTAACCAGTTGATCACCGATGCTATGCGAGGAGCGCCATGGTTTGGCATACATGACATCCACTGAAAGCCTACAATAACAACAGCATCTCTAGGCTCGAAATCGTTGTTGACTCAAGTCAAAAGGACCCAGTATGTTCAGTTATGACAATGTGATGTGTGTTTTTATAACCGCCCAGCGGCAAGGAAGCGCATTTCCTGACTACTGAATATTGTTGAACTAAGACTCTAGAACATTTCTGTCTATACGCCAAAACAGTTACTCATTGACAAGCATTTTGGAAACGGTCCGACGTAGCATCCACTACCTTTCTTCAGTGACACTGAAGAGTTGTCAGAAAAGTAGGCTTATAAGTACGAACCATTGATTAATACATAATTAAAGACAAATCTATTGCAAGTCCAAAAGGAAACAAAAGTTAGATACTACACGTGTGGATATATTTCCTGGATGCCTAACCTTCACCTACATGTACGTTTCTGTCTATGACTTGTGAGTTTCTTTTAAATGAATACGTTTAAAGCGAGCCTGTTATAGTTATAATAAAGTCTAGATGATTATCACAATGGCAGTGCATAACAACTGTACATGATACAGGCCATACATGTATGTATAGGATATATGGTCTACAACTACAACATACTACAAATGAAAATATAACTCAGTTCTTTTTGTGTCTGTGTAACTACACGTATGCATATAGCAAAACGGTATGTGCGCAACGTTGAAAAAAGGCCTATTACGTAGATTGCATACCTTTCGCAAAAATGGTCATTAATTTTTGTATGCATGTACATAACTGACGGAGCTTTGAATAAAGGGCCGTTCAGTGTCGGTGTATGAATAGCTCGTGCTTGTTGTACTAAGGTAACGGTGCTCGCGGCAGAAGAACAGAGGAGCGCTCCTCCGTTGCCGGTTGAGGTGCAGTGAATGACTGTTTGCGTCAGGTAGAGTACACAGGGAGAGCGGGCCTGGCTGTTTGTCGTCACGGCCCAGAGACGGTCTGCACGCGAGTTGTTCCCAGAAGCCCTGTGTGCCCAGCCCATACCTTCACCTTCAACTGAATAGGCTGTTTTTTCTTCCCCATCGTCTCTGGTGTGCCGAGCAAAAAACAACAAAAATATACCTACTGCTGTACATCTGAAAATCCCTTGCAATATGCACAAAAGAAGTGCTGATTGTGGCTCTTGGTTGTCGATATGAACAATATCCTTTGTCAATATGAACAATTTCCTTTGTCCTTCACGTAACATTTCCAAGACCCCACTACATGCTTGCTCGACTTGGTAGTGAAGACATATTATGTCGGATACAGTACCTTTTCCTTAATTTATAGTGCATAAGGTTAAGCTAGAATTTGAAGATGAAGTCTATGATCTATTCCTGTACTTAGATGGTGCAATGAGGAGGACTTTCACAGTGACAATGTCATAAAAACTTGTTTCAAGGTTTTGAAATACAACCTACGCTCGTCTTGCAAAATCATCGTGTCTAAAACATCCTCCAGTTACAATGGCTTCACATGTCTTGTTCGGTTCGGAAGACAAATACTGGGCGCTTAAAACGGACCATCGTTGCCACAGCGGAACTTGCACAACACAGTCAAGACCGTGGTGTCGGCCGCAATGTTTGTTAACTACCGCACAGTCAATATGATGATAACAGCAACAACTTCAACGCGACGTGAACATTTTCCACAAAGAAGCGTCCGGGAACAGCAAGACAAAGCAGCAGTTATACAACCACAGGTTGCTGAGAACTCCACAAATCACTTCACTCCACAAATAAACGCTTGTTTAGGTATAGAGTGTTAGATATCAGCTAGGTTGAAATGTAGAAAGAGTGTATGATGCGGTAGTTTAGTAGCTATCAAACCTGTCAATAGAGGGAATGTCCATTTTACAGCCTGGCTAACTTTACTTACTTGATCGTTGCCACTATTCTGAATGTGAATATTGAAAATATCGTCTGTATGCCTCCATGGTTCTGTTCCAGCTGCAGTGTCATATTTTATTAGTTACATGTATCAGTAGTAAACGAAGTTCTTTTTCCTTGCATCTGCCTTTAGATGTATATGTATGCATCATTTTGTTGCTGAGAAAATATTTACAGGAGAATGCATGGAATCCAAGGAAGTAGTGTATAATTTACTCCAGGAAAAGATTCGCCTGGATGGCAAAATGTTTTCTGGTCAAAGTCTTTCGATGCCGCGGAATGTGTCCTTAGTTTTAGCTAGTCATGCTGTTCCGTCCTCGCAAAGATAAAAGCGCCCCTGCGGTGTTAGGTGTCCCCTATCTTGTACGGTTTATCTCACGCCACTCTGTCACCTGACACACCTGCGTGAGGTGAATAGATGGTATTTACCTGATCTCACCTGGATACCTGTCCGGATTACGGCGATAATGTCCGGCAGGGTGAATTACTGGTTGAGATTACGGCTAAAAGCCAAGTATACATTACAGTGATCGGTTTATACTTATTATCTCTTTAAGTGCTGGACATGGGAAACTCTGAGGTTGTTAAAGGTTATTTCCTGACTGAGCATAATGTTTCAAAAAGACATGTATTGTCACTATATTTACGCGAATTTCACACCCTTGTCGTGCTTCACAGATAATGTTGTTTGAATGGAGGCGTTTGTATATTTGCGATCACCGTGTTCCTGTCAGTCAGAACTGACAGACGACACTTACGAGATTAGTTGTTGTCCATGGGTGTTTAACCCGCAAAGACTGGTGCCTTCACACGGGATTTATGTGTTATTGGAGTTACAGGTGGCTGCAAAGGTTTCGCACAAAGCATTGTTTTGGCTTCTAAGGACAACTGGATCCATTATTATAGGCCGAAGGCGAGAGGCGAGAACCCAAAACACTGCCTAACTCCAAGGGAGCAAGTCTTAGTACTTCGTCTCGGTATACTTATGGTGGATCGAGGTGTAACAGCGATTTCGTCCCCCCTAGCGATGTCGCCCCCCCCCGAGACCAAATCAAGCGACATCGTCCCCAAAATCGGCTGCCAGACGTACAATACAACTCATGCTAACCAACAAGCATAGGGTTGTTGTATTAACCTAATTAATGTGCCATAGAAAAGTTTGTCCCTATTATCCTTTTTAGATACCTGCAATCTGCTGTGTGTTTGCTTGCCAATTTGTATTTCCTGTCTAATTCATTGCGCGGATCATAGCGCGCACTGCAAGACTGTAAATGTTTTTAACGAGAAATAAACCAATCGCTACCACTAGGATTCCAGCATCCGTGACGCCCCACAATCAGTATGTAAACCCTCTTTCATACTATTGCCAAGCGCCATCGAGTTTTGATAAAACATGAAATATATTACTTCCGTAGCTATTGAGAGCTACTGTATTCTACTGGCAGATACAAGACAGGTTCTTACGTAACACCAGTTCTAATGAGCATCGCCCCAGATAAAGGCACCGACAGGAAGAGTAAACAACCTTTTGTGGACGGAACCTTAATTGGTCTAGAATGTGAGCATCGGGTGTTGCACATGACGTCAGCATTGCAAGATTTATGATATAGTGTCAAAGCCATGCAGTTCCATTTAACTGGTTTACTATACTTAACTTGCGTGTAGTTTTGTTTAACACTGGGTAGCTTCATGTAAGCGTATACTACTAGTAAACCGAACTAGTTAGAAAGTTAAGATTTTAGAATAACAGAATTGCAGTCTTTGCAGACGTGCATCACCTTACCATAAAGAAAGCTATTAGTTCTAAAATTACCTAAATCTAAACCAGAGGAGGCGGGGTGTCACTGTACAACAAAGAAAATTTGTACACAAAGCAACACGGACATTTGAGATTCTTTCACACAGTGAAAACAACGTCAGAGACATCAATCAATGACGGCCATGTGATGAATGTATCAGAGGTGAGAAGGTCCGTGTACTACCCGCTACCCGTATGTCAAAAGCGTGTCTTAAGAGCACCTACAACACATTATACTCTTCTGGTAAACATTCTCTCTACTAGATGGGCACCAAGAATGAACGAACTGTTCTTTGGTAGGGACATATATATTGTCTACCGGTGTTTTGCTTTGTTTTCTTTGCAATTAGCCTTCGGGCATGGTCTTGCAAGAAAGTTAACTTTTATATTGCATAAGAGTATTGGGAGATCTCGCCATTCGTCGCATGTTTGGCTGGCTTTATCTGGCTGGTCCTTAGATTATTTTTTCATTGGGCCAAGCATTAAAGAATCCTGTCAATAGTCGACACATGTATGCTGTGATCATTTTCTTCACGTTCATAGCTTGAGTGGTCGCTATATACAAGTTTGACAGTATGTCCATTCACAATATGGATAGAGAGACGGTTCTAACACGGAGAGAAGAATGGAGTGTCCATTTCCAGCCAATTAGACTTGTAACAGGGTAAGTCGTTTGTTAAGGGTGGTCCATCAAGGAGAAAACATGCTTTTCAACCATTCGCCGGCCATTCAGGAGGAATGCAAATTTGCACATGTCATTTTGTGAATAGCTTAAGGCCAAAGACGTTTGCTACTATTGAGAAAAAGTGCTGTTCTCGCCGTAACCAGAAAGTATTTGGTGCCAAGTGTAGCTGAAAGAGCGTGGATATTTAGACTATGGCCAATCTGCATACCTTACACATGACGGTAGTGGCCTTAAAGAATTAATTGCTCTTAAACACGTCGATGTACTCTTTGAATGGCTAAAGAATAAGTTCAGGTCCGCTCTTCTATTGGTCTGACAAGTACGTGCTTTTTGGGGCTAGCTTTTAATGCTAAGCCTTGTTCTCTATATTTGCTTGCAATGTCGTGGCAGGGCGGTACTATACGATATATTATAGTGGAGTGAACTAATGTTCTGATAGATATAGTCTATAGTATATAATCACCACCTACCTCTGTTGTCGGATGGGAACGGATATTCAACAGACAACGCCTGTCAAAACAAACATAAACAGTTAGAGCTTACAAAATTGGGATGGAACAATCTTTTCTTGTCATGAATTCCTTCATAAATGCAATGATGGGAATCTATTGGTACTGTTGTAAAAAGGGCAGAATTACGATGAAATAATTCTATGAACAAGTCAGCAATCTTACCTTGTGCGATACAAAAATGAGCGTCAGAAACTGTAATGTTACAGCCATGATGTGAAGACACAGTACTGAGGATAGGAATCTCATTTTAAGTTCCTGCAGAAAAGAAAACAAACAGAGCTACTTAGCCATCTGATACAAACTACCGATACTTCGGACGTATGATTACTGACTCGCTATGCCTTTCCGTTCACCTTCATTACTGTTTTAAAGAAGCCAACGCAGTTGACATATCTTTTTGATATGGACGTTGAAAATATCTTAAAGAATCCTGGAAAAGTGGATCACGCGCGACACTGGCCCATAAACTGGTTCTATCCTTGCAACACAAAGAATCTACTGTTAGTCCGTCCATTTCTCTGACAAGCTGAGGACAATTGTTTCCCATTGACGACTAAAACACATTCTACTATTGTCAAATCAAACGGTAAAACTGTCGACATCAAAATTAAGCTCAACATACCGCCTCACTTTGCAAACTATAGGAGAAGTTTTACATAAACCGACTATGAATGTTCAACAAAACATTTCAACAGCGTTCGACACTTCTGATGGCATACATTGTACCGTGAAAGGAATGTTTTTACACTGGAGCCAGTGATTCCCTTGCGGTGATTCACAAATCGAACAGTGCCGCTTATCAAAAAGTTTGAAACTGTAGAAAATACACTTGTGTTGAAAAGCCCGAGATTACGCATTTGTACTCCTCTTCAATATACTGAATCGTCACTTACCAGCAAAGAAGGCGAAGCGTGTGCTTGTCTGAATGACGACAGAGACTCGTGTGTGTCTCCCCTACATTACCTCACTCATGTATGTCTCGTCTGTCAATGACCAGAGTAACCCAACCCACCCTTTCACCACTCTCTAACGTTTACATAGCGGTATCACGCACCGGTAGCGATGAAAGATACCCCAGCTTCACTATTGGTCGGGATACAGAACTGGAAACCTATAGCAGGGTGGGCCATTATGTTTTCCTACCTAGCGGGACAATGACAGGACTTCGTGTGAAGAGAAAGGGGCCCTTCCCGGTTCCAGCGTTTCCTCATGATTGAAAGTTAACAATTAAAACTGTTTTGACGCAGTACAGTTGGGCAACGAAATGTCGAAAAGGCCAGTACATACTGTCAGCAAAGTTTTCTTTCTGTTGTACAGACTGAAAAAGAGCCTACTGCTGGGGTTGCCACTACTGGCGCGCTTTGCGAAGAGAGGAGTCTTGAATTCTACGATCTTTATTGGATATCCACGTATAGACACTATCAGTAACTCGTCAAACACTGTACATTATTGTATCATGTATAATGTGGACAGAAGTCACATCTTTCTTTACCGAATGACGTTGATGTCTACGCAGGTGACAGAATACGTTTTTACAGGTAAAAAATGTAACGGCGCCGCTATGTATCTGGGAGGAAAACTGAGAACAGAAAAGTTCAATGAATATTCATTCTGAGACTAGCATTTGGTCGAGAAAGTTTCTAGGGCTATATTTGCAGTTGACGCTTTTGATTGATTGTACAAGACTGAATCACAGACCACATTTGGCAGGCAAACATGACGATGATAGCTGTGGCAAACCACAATATTAGTCCACCTCACGTCCGGTCATTTTGGCACACCGCAGTACTGTTTAACCTGACTTCCGCTCACAGGAAGTGTCGTTCAGTGTCTGTTTGTAGTTTTTAAAATAACCACACCCGTGTGTATACACGTTTCCATGGATGGATGACATGTTTTGCTGTAATGATACTTGCTATTTTGTTTGTTAGCCTTACACGTAGGTCGTGTTGTCTCCTACGGTCTGACCTTCGGAGGTCACCCGTATCCTGTAGTCTTCTGGGTAGTTTCTGGTGGTTATTTTCATTATTCACCATCCTTTGTTTTCTAAAAGAAGACGAAGGTCATGTTTGGAAATGAGAGATATGTGGCGTTCCTAGATTACTGGAGCGGAAATTCTGAGTGCAACTCGAGCTACTGTGGATGGATATTAATGATTTTGGGACAACATCCTGAAGTTGAATTTAAGTAAAAACCAATGAATGAAAATTGAAAAGACAGGCTATTCATTAACTATCAACATGATAGAAGAATGAACATATCAAACATTTTGTTTGATTCTACTTTATTCAAGCTTTCAGAATTACAATCTTTTGATAACACAAAAACAGACATAGCCTAACAATACATGTATGGCATACAAACAAACTGTTTTAAAAACCTAAATGTAGCATTTTTTACTATCATTGCCTTGTACTGATTTTCATTTATTACGAAAAATAAATCTGTATGATTAATTCATCAATTTGTAAATTTGAATTGTACATTTTACCAATCTATGGTCTAATACTACTAATGTTACATAACTGAATTCAACACTATTTTATCACAATGACAATGTAGACTAAAATGTTTGAGTACTCAAAAAATTCAATAACAACATTGCTTCTGTGTCCATAATTGATTATAATCATGACGAAAATGTTATAATAATCAAATTGCACATTTCTACCAAGGTCTCATTTGGAGCAGTTCATCTAACTACCTTCAACATTGACTTTAAAATCATTCAGTATAGTAGTCACTGCTTTTGGCAACTAATTGTACAACAAAACTTACTACTACTACTCATAACACACCAGTTGGCAACTATTACTATGTAATCAAGAGCCATTTTGCTAAAAGTAACATTTTATGTCTTCTACTACTCTTCATTTGCCCATCCCTTGGCATAGCCAGCGTAGAACACTTGGTAGTCTGTGTTTTCAATCGGCCCAGCGAAAGAGTAGACCACGTCAACAGTCTGTGGGTCGAGGAGAAACATGATTTAGGTTAAGAAACTTTACAGGTCTCTGATAATATTGTCATTAAAAGCAGCTACAACATGCTAGTTTACATAGTGTATTACTTATTCTACATATAATTTAAATGGAGATGTGCAAAAATTATAAGTAGGGCTCGAAATACTGGGTGCATGTGCACCTTATTGCACCCAAACTTGGCACTGTGCACCACTTTTTTCTATGGGTGCAATATTTTTTTAGGCTTACGTATGTAAAGATGGTAAATGCATAATAGTATGAGGTACAGTGTAGCCTTTTATAGTACTAAACATAGTTTATGCAACAGGTTCAAGGTAATTCATGCATTTCATATGGACTACAAAAAGCTTGAATACTGCATCATCCTACCTGATCATACTCTGACTCCGATCCCTCCAGACTCTCGTGCACAATGTGGAGTGCTCCATCGATGGCCTTCTGGGTCCTGTAACCAGTCCTCTTCACCACGTATGTCTGCAGGTTCACACCCTTCCTCAGGATAACCTGAGCACAGGTACAAGGACAAAGACAGCTTGGGTCTTTTGTTCATATACTATTAGACACTGGCAATGTTACTGTCAAAATCAGGAGGTCCATAAACTTTATGCACAGTATGAATTGCTCACTCACTCACTCTCACTCTCACTCACTCACTCACTCACTCACTCACTCTCACACACATTCACTCACTCACACTCACTCACTCACTCACTCACTTAAACTTACACCTCAGATGCAATGCAAGGGAAATAAAAACATCTTATAACACCACCAATTGACTGAATGCTAAAACAGAAATTGGAGAGTAAAAATCCAGACCCACCCCCTTCTCTGTGGGTGCAGGTGGGTCTGCCTCCTGGAACTTCTTTGGCAGAGGCACACAGAACTCAAACACGTCCTTGCAGGAACCATGAGTCTTGTCAGATTTCGACATCACCTGTGACAGGAAAATTAAGACGTCATTCAAGACAAATAATGTCATGTATACATTATGCTAGGCTAAGTTCAGTTCCAGCTCTAATTCACATACACCATCATTTCTCATTACGTATTATAGTACAAATAACAATTTGTACTTAGATTATGAAGCAGACATTTTACAATAAATCCATTGTTAAAGTTTATTGAAGATGTGTTCCTATTGGCCAGGGAGATAAAATACAGCACAATAAATTTATCACTCTCTTTTAAAAATAAAGTTTAGCATGGAAAAGTATTGTGCCCCCAGAAAACAGGTTTAAACTGTGTGATTGATGATACTAACAGCAGTGAGAGCAGGTTCAAGTGTGACGTCCATAATCCCTGCCTCCATCTTGTAGCGCATGATGCTGTGAATCATGGAGGCGGAAAGTTCCGGGTGGCCACAGTCAATCACATTCCTCTCCACACACACCCAGTTTTCTGATAAGAAAAAGACATTAAAAAAGCAGAAGTCAGGAGACTCTTGGATTGCACTTCTATCAACAGTTAATCTGCACCATTGACTAGTGAGTGACATAAAATAAGTTATAGCATTACCTTGAAATTACAAGCAATATTTTGAGTTAGATGCATGGCCGTTTACAGTATTTAGATTTATTGGACTTCCAGTAAGGTGGTAACTCACATACACAGTAATGTCAAAATTATCACTTTATTTATCTTGTTTATTCATTAAGACCTACCACATTAATGGAAGGATTAGCATTATAGCTGATTGGTAACTTTTCAACCCACAGACCAGACTAAGGTTTGAGCCACTCACAGTAACAGCCTAATTAATTCTAATCTAAATTCAATAATTGAAGAGAGCAAAGACACAGAGTAGAATACAACCTGCGGTGAACTTGTGCTCGATGAAGCCGTCCTTTTCTGACACAGTTTCAGGCAGGAAGCAGGTGTCACTGGGACAGTCCTCAGGGTGGTCTTTCACCTCCGTCCTGAGCCCGTTTCCCCAGGGAGCCTTGGCAAAGCCGATGAAGTTGACTTGGTAGGCGTTAATCTCAGTTGCACCGTGGAAGTTGTATAGTACGTCAACAGTCTACAGGGCATGAAGAGCGAAAAGTGAACTCTTAATTCTCCTTTCAATACATTCTGCAGTTACATTCTAAAGCTCTACTGTGTATTGTTGTTGCAGCTTGAATAAAGAGACAATATAAATCTACGTCATACATTTTGTATATACTTAAAATATGTGTAAAACAGGCCTACTCTTGTGTGCTTAAACCTTTTAGCATGCTAAGGTAGCCATTTGGCTCCAAATGTGTTTTGGGTATGGGGTTAGGCAGCTGGGGGAAGTGCTTCATTTTTTTCAAAAAAAATCTTTGAATGTCTATTCTTGGGAAGAGCTTTGAATGAACATATTCTAATTGAGTACGATAAAAACACTTAACATTCCTGAGCTTCCTTACCTGATCAAAGTCAAGTCCACGCGCGTTCAAGCTGTTCCTCACACTAGTCTGTGCTTCATCGATCATTTTCCGGCTCCAGTACCCAGTCCTCCTGGTTACATAGGTGTGCAGGGTAGATCCCTTCTTCAACACAACCTGGCAGGGTGACAACGGAAGTAACATGATGGTAAGATAGGCATTAGGTAAATTAGGCAATTAATTCAGAATTTATCATCTTAAACTCAAGAAACTACATTTCTATGTTTTATCAAGAGGTAGTTATTGTAAACCTAAAATGTTTGCTGTGGTTTTGTTTCCTGCAGTGTTTGCAGTTATTGTAACCTCTCCACCGTGAATTCATGATACAGCAATTTTGTATACACTACATGTAGTACTGTTACACTACTATAATAGCATTTTGTTTCAACTATGAAACACCACAAAAAACCTTCTGCATTGAAACAGTATTTCACTGGGTTATCTGTAGAAATCGTTAATTACAAAGTGTTAAAAAAACTCAGACTTACTCCATCTTCAGTGGGTGCAGGTGGTTCTCCATCGTTCAAACTGGGAGGAACTGGTACACAGAACTCAAACACATCATTGCAGATACCAATGTCTGCTTCATAAGTGCTGGTCTTTGCTATGTACTGAAATAAAGTGAGCAAACCTTAGCTAGTTAATGATTCACAGAGTAAATGATTTCAAACCTTGCATTACAGTTTGAGTTCTAACCATTTTAGAGACTCTTGAGTCTGAGCCATATCTAGATTGAGTAACTGTACTGAAGATCAACTTGTAAGTATCTGATGGCTTTGCACTTTTGGTTGGTATTAAATGTTTGAAGGCAAACAATTTTCTCAGAGTATACGCAAGCATATTAAGAATATTCTACAAAATACATGACATTGTAAGAGCAAAAAAAATGTTAAGATAATCGATCCTGCACTGTCCAAAGTCAGTAAATCTATCATGCAAATGTAACAGTAATGCTTACACTGGTGGGACCTGGTACTATGGTCTCTGCTGTTGCTTTAGCCTCATTGTTGCCACTGAAGTATCTCCTGATACCCCTGTGCATGGATGGCATGAGCAGTGGGTGACCACACTCTATGACATGCCTCTGCTCACAAACCCAGTTTTCTGGAAAAACAGTTACGATTTCACAAAAGGGTCCAGGAATTTCAACATATATTGAATCTTAACAAAACTGTATTTTCTTATAGGGAGGAATGTACAAGTCATGAAATTATCGATGTACATGATAGGTTCAAAGAACACTGCAAAAGAAAGAACACACCTCTTCTTTTAGTTGCTTTAAAGATGCAGTCTTTTATGTTTGAAAAATCTTACAGTGTGATATGACCAGCACATACCAGCCACTGATACATGAAGGTGTGTGTTGTGTTGGTTGACCTTTGCTCAATACACAGCAACACAATAAAGAATTACACATTCACCTACCGATGGCAAACTTGTGCTCAATGAATCCTTCATTTTCGCTGACTACCTCCGGCAGGAAGCATGTGTCACTGGGACAGGTAGACGGCCAGTCAACCACCCCCTCCCCAAAGCCGTTGCCCCATGGTGCCTTGGCATATCCTACAAAGAAGACTCCATAGCCCTGGTTTTCAGTTGGCCCGTTGTAATCGTAGACCACATCAACACTCTGAAAAAGCAAGCATTCTGAAATGACTCAAACAGGATTAAAGAAGAGTTGACAGACCTGTCCATGGTGCTGAATGTATCACCATATAAATATATATGACATAATGTGCAGTTAAAAGATCTTGTTTTGTTAATCTAACCATTATTAAAGATTGTTCTCAAACAATTTAAGATGACAGGGCTGTCCTTGGTGCTGAACTTGTTATCTCCTTTTAATCGTGATGACATTGTGCTCAAATCAAATCTGCATTCATTTGAGATGCTGGTTCTACTTGGGCAAAGATGAATACAAGCTTGCAAGAATAAACATGTAGTAACCCTGTAGGTCTTTCTATCATTGTGTTTTGCATTCAAATATTCATCGAAAATTTTGTTAAATTACCACTTTGGAATGCAACCAAAATGTGTGTTGAGACTACCTAAATATGGTAGGCTTCAGACAACATACATGCATTAATTATAAAATCAGTTGAAAAACTTAAGGAAGTACAGATATAAGTAATGTTACCTGGTCATACTGTAGCCCATGCCTTTCCAAGCTGTGCCGGACACTCTCCAGAGCTTCATTGATGGCAGTCTGTGTCTTGAAGCCAACCCTCCTGGTCACATACGCCTGCATGGACGCTCCCTTCTTAACGTGCACCTGCTTACAAAAAGAAAAAAAAATGATGTATCACTAAACACAGATTTTAATTGCCAATCACTTTCTTTTAAACCAAAACTTTCTTAGCTGTAATATAAAGCAATGTGGCATTGCTTGGAATATCATTTATGTGTGAATAATACAAGAAAGAAAGACATTAAATGCACAGCATAACAACTTTTCTCAAATACAATCTGTTAAGAAGGACAATATGCTAAAACTTGACAGAAGCAATATTGACCTTGTCATCAGTAGGAGTAGGTGGCTCGTCCTGGGGCCAGTCCTTGGGAAGAGGGACGCAGAACTCGAACACATCGTTGCAGATTCCAATGGCTCGGTCACGCAACACGGTCGGTGACAATGTGACCTGCAGATATGATGAAGTGAAGTAAATAACATCTTAGATTACACACATTATAGAGTAAAATATACAATGTCATGAAGAGTTCAAAACTGCTGTCTTAAGATTAAACCTTCTTCCTGCTGCCTTATCCATTACCATTGTGTGCTAATGGTCAAAAACTAACAATTCATTAGTAGTTTTGACTGAGCATTGGTTTTTACATTTTACTGAATGTTTGCAAAGTATGTTCTGTTTTCCTTTGTGTTACACTACTGTCACAGACACAGCGAAATTTCACTGTACCACGAAATGTAAGTTACAACATGGCTGTCCTTGGTGCTGAACTAGCCATCATGTAAATACTATTGGTGATGATGTTTTACTCCTATTTAATCTGCATCTAATGGAGATGCTAATTCTGTAAGTCATTACTTGGGAAAAGGTGAATATAGCAGAACTTACTGAAGTCATTCCAGGGAAGACAATGGTAGCCGTCATTTTTGCACTGTTGTTGCCGCTGAAGTATCCCCTGACAGCTCTGAAGGTAGCCATGGATGGCTGAGGATGTCCACACATCCTCACATCCTCCTGAACACAGACCCAGTTTTCTGAAACACAAATCACATCCACTTACTAATAGCCTATTTGATACAAAGAAATGTAAGGACAGTAGCAAATATTCCAGGACAGATTACAATCATGTAAAATAAGGAAAAAAAATCCTAACTTTCTCAAATTTTCATGGAAGTTCATCTGTGTTGGTAGTAATCATAGTACGATGCCGAACTTTATTTCAACACAAATCAAATTTCTTGTGGATTACATTCAGAAGTGATTGGTCTTTACTTATCCTGATGAAGGCAATGATGGTCGTTGAAAATTTGATGCTTGTGTACCGTTTGTGTTGGAATAAAGTTCAGCATCATACTAATATGATAATATAACGTTAGAGCACCCCTGACTACTATGACATACATGTAACAGTCAAATCTGTAGTACTGAGCAAATGACAAATAATTCAGCACTAACCAGCTTCAAACTTGTGCTCCACAAAGCCTTCCTTCTCCCCAACAGTTTCAGGCAGGTAGCAGGTGTCACTAGGACAGTCGGACGGGTAGTCGACCACCCCCTTGCCCAGACCATCTCCCCAGGGAGCCTTGGCATACCCAGCAAAGAACACCTGGTGCTCCTGGTACTCAGTAGGCCCAGCGTAGGTGTACACCACATCAACGGTCTGTAAGGTCAGTGAGGGTTAGACATCAGATAATCAGTAATAAGATAGTTACCCCCCAAAACAGTAATTCAAGCAACTGGATATGATTTTGGAAACTGTCAGAAAGTTTGTACTTGTAAAACCTGCTTTTCGGACAGCTCTCCAGTGTCACTGACGAAAGGTAGTGGATGCTACTTGAAATTTCTGACTGTTTCCAAAATTAATTCCAATTGCTTGAGGAAGGAACCCTTAATTGGTTTAACATCCCGTACAAAGGGCTGTAAAGAGTTACTCTTACCAGTAACATGCAAGTTGAGTATGCAACAAAAGCCAGGATTTGAACTCTTGACCCCTGGTCAACCTGAAGACCAAGCAATCTATCTTGGCCATTGCAAATCTTCATTGGTGAAGATCACATTTGTTGAAAATTTAACATCATCACATTACACATATACCTTTCCTACCTGATCATACTCAAGCCCATTTCTGTCCAGCCTGGTCCTGACAGAGTGCAGTGCTTCACTGATGGCATCCTGGTCCCTGAATCCTGTCCTCCTGGTCACATATGCCTGGAGACTGGCTCCCTTCTTGATAATGACCTGAACGGAACAGTACAAGGACGCAGCCATTTTCAGTCATCATTGTGAAACTATGTTGTGAGCCACCCCCACCCCCAAACATGTATAATGTATATAATTACTCTCTAGTATAATGCAATGGGATCATTTTTACCATCTAAGAAGTTAAAATAATCTTTAGAGAATAGAAAAAGTTATTACATTGTACTGGAATAAGCTACATTTAGAAAAGACATGTTATTGTACAATGCGTCGATGAAGGTTAGACATCCAGGTAATACGATATGCCAAAAAGCAGTTACTCAAGCAACTGGATATTATTTTGAAAACGTCAAAACGTTTCCAAAATTATATCCAGTTGCTTGAGTAACTGCTTTTTGGTATATTGTATGTACAATGTATTAGAATATATAGGTGTCAACTGTGAGTATTCAAAAACTTACCCCCTCTTCCTTTGGTGCAGGAGGTTCTCCTTCCTGCTTGTCCTTCGGCAGTGGAACACAGAACTCAAAGCGGACAGGGCAGCTGCCATTGTATGTCAACTGAAATCCAGTAAACATAAGAAAAGACAGTAAAAATTATGGATTTCAATCATTGTTTTTACATCTATGTTTACTTAGTAGCACTTCATTGTAGAACCCATGATCCAAGCATATCTAAATGTGCTAGTTTTTGTGGTAACAGGCCTTTTCTCACTGCTGATACTTATTGTCCAAACAGTACCCATGCAGTCGCAGCCTTACGGCTGAATGATGCAGGGTATCACATAATAATCAATACAAATCACAACAATTACAACATTCAAATAATACAAAGGATAGACACAGTCGCAAGGGTCTGTGCGGCTGCCATTCGGCGCCACAAGGTGACCTCAATACGACTTTCCCCAACCAAAGTTAGGTACCCATTCACACCTGGGTGGAGTGAGGAAATTCGTGTAAAGTGCCTTTCCCAAGGGCACAACGTCGGGGCGCATGTTCAGACATGTACCGGGTACGACTCGGAATCGAACCCGGGTCTCCCGGTTCACAGTCGATTGTTCTAACCACTACACCACCCGACGCCACACTTACCATTGTTCAAAATTGTAAAAAATTGTACTGGCAATTCTTGCAAAATCCTAACACATCAGATTCTGTAAAATACTTGATCAACAATAATCATCATGGCTAATAATTACGCCCAATACTTACGCTGGTGATTCCAGGGAGAATGATTTCTGCCTTAAGTCCTGCTTCATTTTCACCCTTGAAGTAGTTTCTGATGGGGGAGAAGAAGGAGGGGTCGAGGTCGGGGAATCTACAGTCAGTTATATCCTTCTGCTCACAAACCCAGTTTTCTGGAATGTAAAAACAGGCACATGAAGAGAAACAACTTGTGAAACATGTGAATTGTTTCGAAAACATCATGAATCAATTTGTAATACTGCAAGGATCAACAAAGTACTGAGTACCATCCTCTGTGTTTGTTGTCGGCCCTGACCTTTTGGTTCGCAAACCATTGTAAATGAAAAAGGACATTTAGCGGTAACTACAGAGGATGGTACCCAGGTACCTATGTCAACTTTCTCATTCAGCATAATAAGAATGGTTTATTTGAAGTTCCACTCATAGATGTCACACTTGCAGTCCTAAGACTGAATTATGGTAACAGTACATACATACATTATCATGGACTTATAACAATTATTACTGAAGGTTAAAAATTATGAATTACAACTACAATTTATGTAAGTGTACAATGTATAATAAAACTAGTAAAATGCGTTGGTTATGGCATCACTTTAATAAAACAACTATACCTAGGAACAATATTTGGGATACAGAGCAAGAAAGACATTCAACTTGACTGACCAGCATCAAACTTGTGCTCGATGAAGCCATCCTCTTCACTGAGAGTTTCTGGCAGGAAGCAGTTGTTGTTTGTTGCACAGTCATCAGGGAAGGTCACAATGTCCTTCCCCAGTCCGTTACCCCAAGGTGCCTTGGCATAGCCCGCAAAGAACACCTGATAGTCGTGGTCCTCACTGGGTCCATGGTAGGAGTACACCACATCTACAGTCTGAAATGGTTTGGGAGAAAGGAGGTTGCAAGGATAAAAACTTACGATTATTTGTCCAGGATAACTTTCCAACTAACAGTAAAACAGATTGTTTAACTGATCAATTCATATTCACACAACAACCAGACACAAAGAATAATCTATATGTGTATCACCCTACAGAAATGGACTGCAATGATGAATACAATGTCCTCTCTAATATGTGATAATCGTCTCTGACTCTGAGATACATGTATTTTTTTAAGTTGACAAACTACTAAAAAATACATGGTATTAGTACATCGACAACTTTTACAACGTTGTTACCAGTTTTTAGTGATCACACACTGTTTACATACACTATACTGTTCTGAATCTTAAAAGTATAAAACTTCACGGAGAATTGTCGCCTATGGACACTTGTTTTAGTTGACAAAGTACTAAAAAATACATGATAACTGCACATGGTAAGTCTTATTGCAAGTTTCCCACCTGATCATAGTGCAGGTCATGTGTGTTCAGATCCTCCCGTACTTTGCTAAGAGCACTGTTGATAGCAGTCTGGGTTCTCCTGTCCTGTGTCCTTGTGACATATGTCTGCAGAGTGGCTCCCTTCTTTATGTAAACCTGAACATAAAGTTGCAAATTTGATAATGGTTAAACCTGGTAGACTAGCAGAAGAAAAAAAAAACAACCTTGCATTTGTTTCAGATGCGACTGTCTTTCTATATGGCAAAAAATGTAGATTTCAGAGAAATGACAAGCACAGAATTTAACATGGATCCAATAAAAATATCTTAGCTTGTCTCAAAGTACAATATTAATAAAAACTGTCTAATAATAGTATCTGCTACTTTAAAAGGCAAAAGTCAAGGTAGCGTCAGTGGTGCAATGGTTACAGTGTTGGACTCGGAACCAATAGGTTCTGGGTTTGACACTATGCCCCGATGTAGTGCTCTTTTGAAAGGCACTTTACACAACTTCCCTGATTGTGGAGTGACGGCCACCAAGCCTTAGTCTAATCTGTCTATTTAAGTAAATGTGTGCCAAAAACACACTACGGTTTGGTGTGAATTTTCCAACATCTACACATTTGCCACCAAGAGCTGTAAATTAAAAATTTTTACAGAGGCAACAACACTGGGGAGAAAAGATTACTAACTTACCTCATCATCTGTAGGAGCTGGAGGTTCTCCCTTCAAGTCTCTGGGTACAGGCACACAGAACTCATACACATCCTTACAGATACCAGCAGCAATGTCAGCCTGTGATGTCTTCCTGATGTACTGTGAAATGCACACAAGGAACAAAAAATATCACAATCTAATATCACTATCTAATATCAAAATACAGAATTAAAATAGAACTGTATAACCTACAAGCTCTCCATATAAAGTCTAGTGTGAATAAGGTCACGTATCTGTAACTGTAATTCTCTCAAGATTTTATAAGTGATTGGTCATCAATTATCCTGATAAAGTAATGTAATGCATGTGTTGTAAAAAAGTTCAACATTTTACTATGAAACCTACAAAATGCCTTTTACTTATTGGTACTACTTGTATTTGTCACTGTATATTCTACAAAATTATGATAATTTGGGACTTGGATGCACAATGTAATGTGACCACAGACAAAAATTGATTGTTTTTTGCAACTTACAGTAGTGACTCCAGGAAGTATAATCAGTTCAATGACCAGTCTTGCTGCATTGTTGCCACTGAAGTATTTTCTGATGTACTTGAAGTTTGAGGTTGAGAAGTCAGGCTTGCTGCAGTCTTCAATGACTCTCTTCACACAAACCCAGTTTTCTGAAAAACAAAATGCAAGTCATGTACTGTGTAATATATATCATTATCTCAGTAATTTTTTTATCTATTCTAGCACTGATATCATTTAGTACAGTGACATGCAATATCAATCCCTGACCACATCATTGACCAAGTATTTGTGGGAAAGATATGGTAAAGTCAATGCTGTTACACAAAGTCAAGCAGTTGAATGTTAACATCAAGAATTAACAAATGAGTATAATTATCATCATTTTAATCTAGCCTGTAATGCACCCAGTTTACAAGGAACAAATTATGATATAGTGCTTTTTTATTTGCACAATCATATATACAACAAAAATATTATTAAAAAATGGACAAATATGCTGGGGAGGCCTGAAACCTTAGTAGTTTTTCCCGGGCCTTCCCCAAAAGAAATACTAAACATTGTAATAATATACAAACGCATGATTTAGATTTTGTTTATTTTCAAATTAAACTAGACATTAATAACCAAAACAACAAATACTAACCACTGCCAAACTTGTGCTCAAACATGTTGTTGTGTTCTGCCATGATTTCGGGTAGGAAGCAGGTATCACTCGGGCAGTCAGTCGGTGTGGCCATGACTCCGTTTCCCAGTCCATCGCCCCACGGTGCCTTGGCGTACCCGACATAGAACGTCTTGTAGTCGTGGGCTTCAGCAGGGCCAGCAAACGAGTAGACAACATCAACAGTCTGCACAAAAGAAGGGAAAAGACAGTATTTATAGCATATTAGTCAACCATATGCCATTGATACATGCATACAAGCCATGAGATTGCTGCTTTATCAGTTCTTAAAAAGCTTATTTTCTTTTGATGTTGTACTGTTTGTTTAACCTATTGAAGGTGCAGAATAATACTCATGGAAAATATACTTTTTAGCCAGACTTTATAAAAGTTATTGGTACAGTGAGGTAATGGCAGAGCATTTGACTCAGAACCAAGAGGTCCCAGGTTTGAACCCTGCCATGTCACCGATCTAGGTATGCCGTTCGGAAAGGCACTTTACACGAAGAAAGAAAGACTAGTACAGTAGTTCCTGACAGTCTTCTGTAACAGGGACTTCAACACCATCAGAAAGCATCTGATTTAAATTATGTAAAATAGATGGAAGTCTAGACTACCTCATCAAATTCGCCAGCATGTCTGTGGAGACAGTCCTTAACATGGTGCAGAGCTGAGTCAATCGCTGTCTGGGATTCGTAACCAATCCTCTTTGTCACGTAGGTATGCAGCTTGGCTCCTGTCTTCAGATAAACCTGCTCACAAGACAAAGAAAGGAAGCAAGTTGTAAGTCAAACATTGAATTTCAAAAACTTTGAATTCTTTAAAAAATGGCAATAAAATGATTATCAAGATACAATGAAGAGTACAAGTGTGTGCTACTTCATATTACTGAATTGTAAAAAAATGTTGGCAACAGTACAATTATTCTCTGGTATCATACTTTTTCTTCTTTAGACTCTTAAAAATCTGGACAGTTTGTATTAGTAAGAGAAGATAACAAAGTGTCTTACCCCTCCTACAGTGGGAGCAGGCAGGTCGTTGAACTCTTCAGGCAGAGGTACACAGAACTCAAACGTATCGTGGCACTCGAAACCAGCGGCTGCTTTACTCCCTGTCTTTGCTGTTTTCTGGAAAATGATTGTCAGAATGAATAAAAGTCACATAAGCTTAGCTCTGGACAAGTCATTCATGTCAAACATTCTGTTGATAATTTTGTTCCTTTTTGTATATTATTCTTATTATTCTTAGCTAGGAAAACATAAGGAACAATGACTTCATTACCATTATAATCTGTGACGAGCATACAGAATGATTGACTCCAAAAACACAGACACACTGAAAACAAAACCTCCATTTATAATTTATAGAGGTGACTAAGACTGCGTAATTAAATGGGAACTTAACTAGTTTGGCACAATCAAATGATTGTGACATTCAACATAATGCTAATTTACTGTAATCATATCTCAGTTGTGATAAGTCTTACAGTTTTGACACCAGGGTGCATGAATGCATCTGTTTTCTTCCCTGCCTCGTTGCCACCACTGAGGTACTCTCTGATACCCTCAAAGATAGACGGGGAAAGTTCTGGAGGACCACAGTGGATTACATTCCTCTTCACACACACCCAGTTTTCTGAAACATAAAAAAAATTGCAATTATCTACAACCCGTCTTCCCCTTGAAACATGTTTTTTCAATGGTCGTACCTGATCTGATGGTTAAAAATTTGATTTGCAAATAGACTACCATCTCATTGAGCTGTTCTTCTTGGTTTAAACTTTATTGAAAAACAAAAGTACAGCAACTTTTGTAATGTCTATAACTAGACATACAGACAAACACATGGGTACAAAAGAATTGACCTGCGTACAAGACTATTATTAGATGAATCAACTTAATATACTACTTGTTCTATGGTCTAAACATTCTTTGATATATTTACCTATTTGTACATAGTAAGTGCTATTACCTTCTAGAATGAAATTGAATTTTGTAGTTTTTGTGAAAAGTGACTAACCAACATCAAATGTGTGTTCTATCATGTTGTGAGCTTCCTTGGTTTCTGGGACAAAGCAGGAGTCGCTTGGGCATGTAGAGGGCATGTCCACAACTGTCTGTCTCCGGCCATTTCCCCAAGGCGCCTTGGCATACCCAGCGTAGAACACTTCATATCTCTTATTCTCATTTGGTCCGCCATAAGTGTACACCACATCAACAGTCTGTAATATAATGCAATTATTATTGCAAACATTATTGTGAGTATTTGCAATATTAATGTAAAATGTGATGCAACAAAGCCATGCAAAATGACTATCATAATATGTTTTTACATGTTCATAAAGTCTCCCATACCTGATCATAGTCCATGTTGTATTTGTCCAGGCTCTTGCGTACTTTCTTCAGAGCTTTTCCGATGGCCTTCTGGGTCCTGTACCCTGTGATTCTCTTGGTGTAAGCCTCCAGATGACCCTTCTTGATGTAAACCTGGCCACAATAAAGCAGAATTAGCATGGTCAGTTTGTGTGCTTTACTGTTACATTGTCAGTAAATATATCGCATGAACATATTTATTCAGTACCAAGAACAGGATGGCAGTGTTAGTATGAATGTCATTCAGCACCAGGGATAGGGATGGTGTAGTAGTGTCAGTGTGAATGTCATTTAGCACCAGGGACAGGGATGGCAGTGTTAGTGTGAATGTCATTCAGTACCAGGGACAGGGATGGCAGTGTTAGTGTGAATGTCATTCAGTACCAGGGACAGGGATGGTAGTGTCAGTGTGAATGTCATTCAGCACCAGGGACAGGGATGGTAGTGTTAGTGTGAATGTCATTCAGTACCAGGGACAGGGATGGCAGTGTTAGTGTGAATATCATTCAGTACCAGGGACAGGGATGGTAGTGTCCGTGTGAATGTCATTCAGCACCAGGGACAGGGATGGTAGTGTTAGTGTGAATGTCATTCAGTACCAGGGACAGGGATGGCAGTGTTAGTGTGAATGTCATTCAGCACCAAGGGACAGGGATGGCAGTGTTAGTGTGAATGTCATTCAGCACCAGGGACAGGGATGGTAGTGTTAGCATGGTGTTTACACAATGTACCTTGGCATAGTTTTAATCAAGACAAAGCACCAACCTGGCCTTTAGAATTGTACTGATGGTGATTGTTTGATGGTGTGAAACAGTGGTAATGGTATTGGGATATTCTTACATTTTCAAACAGCCTTTGACTAATTTCTACACCACAGCTACATTCTGGCGAAACTTTGAAGAGAAATTTTGTTCTACGGGTGTCATCAAAAAGAAAACACAGCTGGTACCCACCCTTTCTCCAGTTGGAGCTGGTGGAGCATCTCCTTCCAAGAATGACTTCGGCAGAGGCACACAGAACTCAAACACATCTTTGCAGATACCAGCAGCTTTCTCAGCCTTCGTTGTCAGACATATGAGCTGCGGGAATAGGCAGAAAAGAAATTAAGTCGTCTGATGGTATTTTGGGCCAAAAAATATATCCAAAATATCACAATATCTAACATCTGTGTCAATAATATCACCAAGGTCCATAATATCGCCACCTTGAGAAATAGTGTGCTTAAAGATATTTTTACTGCAACATACCCTAGGTATGTACATTTGATGTGTGAAGGAGTGCATACCAAAAGTATGTTGCAGTAAAAATATCTTTAAGCACACTGTTTTTCAAGGTGGCGATATTATGGACCCTGGTGATATTATGGACACAGATGTTACATGTATGATCATCCGTCATAATCATTTGACATTGTGTAGATGTTAAGATGTTATACTAGTAGATCATGACCTGTATAGCTTTAGGCCAAGGATATAATTATCATGCACGAATTTATGACAAATATAACAATATAACTAACAATAGCATTAAATTTCCGCATTAAAGTTTTTTTGCTTCCAACTGTTTTGTCCTTCCTGTACTCACCGAACTGACACCAGGGAAAATTACATCTGCTGTCAGCTCAGCATCGTTCTCGCCACTGAAGTACCCCCTGATGGGTACGGCCATATCTGGAGTGAACTGAGGGTTCCCACAGTCTGTCACATTCCTCTGCACGCAAGCCCATTGTTCTGAAATAATTTCAGGAAACAATTGGTCACAACATTAACTGAAATTGTCTTCACCTATTTGCATATCAAGCTTATAATTCTTGCTTATAAACCTGCATTTCTGCACAAGTTCTATACTGTCACTGACAAAAGCAGCCCGAAAAAAGGTAGTGGATGCTACCCAAAACGTCTAACCATTTCCAAAATCATTCCAGTTGCTTGAGTAGCTGTTTTTTTGGCATATCTTATTACCTGGATGGCTTACCTTCACAGTCGTAACATTAACTGAATCTTGACAAATTGACAAAATAAGTCCATCAACCCAGAAGTCCACTAGACAACATTTTCCAAAAGCTGCAGTCAAAGCCCATATCCAAATGACACTGGAAAGCTAGAAACAGATATCAGTAACAAGTACTAGTATCCTTCTTCACACTGAAACAGAGTAACTAACCAGCGTTAAACTTGTGTTCAGCAAACATATTACTGCAGTCAAACTCCAGATCCAAATGACATAGGAAAGCTACAACTATCCCTCTTCACACTGAAATAGATCTGACTAACCAGCGTTAAACTTGTGTTCAGCAAACCCGTTTTCCTCTGCAAGTATCTCTGGGAGATAACAGGTGTCGCTGGGACAGGTGTCTGGGAAGGTCGTTGGTGTATCTCCGTGTCCGTTTCCCCAAGGAGCCTTGGCATACCCAACGAAGAAGATCTGGTAGTCGTGGGATTCAGATGGTCCAGCGTAGGTGTAAACTACATCAACAGTCTGGATGGTATCATAAAGAGGTGTTATATTGTAGCTGTAACAGTTCAGTAAAGACATTTTTACATATATACGTACCGAAAGTCTTTTGGTGTACATAGATTGCAACTTTGTTAAGATGTAAATTTATATGATTACATCATCACACAATTGTTGAGATTACACAATAAGTGAATGCAGTGAGTGGATTCAAATATATAATACATGAAAGAAGACAAGTAGCATTAAACGGTATCATTTTTTTGCAACAGGAATCAATGCATGAATGGTGATGCATCTATAGTGATTTAAGTTGACATTTTGTCTTACAGATACTCAAAACAATGGAAAACAATAACACAAGATGCAAGTACTCTTAGTCTTAACTGATTTCCCTTACCTGATCATAGCCAAGCTGTTCCCTATCCAGCCTTTTGCGTACATCCTTCAGACCTTCTTTGATTGCTTCCTGGGTTCTGTATCCTATCCGAGATGTCACAAACGTCTGTAGGCTTCCTCCCTTCTTTATATAAACCTGGTGATAACAAGATTAGGAATGGCTATCATGTGCTGAATTAATCTTTAAGTACAAGATTTCATAAACTATGCTGGTAAACTACACAATACTAAGTACAGTATTATCATAATGTAGCTCCTTGACTTATGCTAGCCAAAATACAAAATGTATTAAAAAAACAAAGACAAAGGTACAAGAAAAATACCTCAACTCACAAACTTTAAAAAAATATTTACAATAGTAATAATCAACATTAAAATAAATCAGAGCATAAAGTTATGACAGAAATGTGAAAAATTTACTGGTTATACAACAAGACTGACTTCAAAGGGAATTACATTCCTAGTGCCTTCCAAATTCACAGTTTTCGGTAAAGTTAGAATTCTTGTGGAATGAAAAAGTTCAATAGGTACCCCTTGCTCAGTTGGAGAAGGAATTGTCTCTTTTGTGAAGTCTTCTGGCAGAGGCACACAGAACTCGTACATATCTCTGCAGAGTTGTCCAGCTTTCTCCATCTCAGTAGTGTTGGCAATGTACTAATTGGTACAATGTAACAGGCAAAAAGAATTATTTAGTGACAATTATCAATTTGAAAGCACCATTTAGAAAAAAAGTGTCATAAGATGTGCAATATACGATAAGAAATTAGTATAATACTGTCTTCATAAGATCGTTTCCTCATTTAAAACCAATTTGCATTCTGGTGCCATTTACACAACTACAACAACAACATCATAGCACACATGTCTAAAAAAGTGCCATAACTGCAATGAAGTGAGCAGTACAAGATAAATATACTGTCTTGAGACATTTATAGGCCCACTCACAGTAGTGATCCCAGGAACGATGACATCTGCCTTCTTGCCTGCATCGTTGCTACCTTGGAAGTACCTCCTGATGGACTTGTACATGGATGGAGAGAGCTCAGGCTCACCACAGTGGATCACATGCCTCTTTACACAAACCCAGTTCTCTACAATAACAAATTAGTCCAGGTACATGTAGAACATAAATCAAAATCATTTCAATAGGTCCATATGGTTGCTTAAGAAGACTAAGCCAAGAAAATTGTGAAATATAGAAAATAGCAATTGACGTTAGCTAGCTGTTTTGATTTGAGTGAGAAAATAAGACATTTACTGTGCCCAAGAACCACAGGCCTAGGACAGAGACAAATTGCGAGCTACCATCAAGCCCCAGCATCAGTGTGCAAGCATGTCTATCCCTCGGAACACGGGGAACAACAGATGTTAGAGAGAAAGAGAGAGATGTATTTTCTGACAGGAGTACCAATATTATAGGTTGTAATTTCTTGATTGAAAAAAAAGTTGAAAGTTATAGAAACTGTAAGTTGTAAGAAAAAATAAAATCGATTATCTTTGAGATTCTTTGATGCTTAAGTCTGAAATATATATATATTAATGTTCCACTGATCATTGCACACAAATCTGAACATGGACTGACCAGCTTCAAACTTGTGCTCCAAGAAGGGTCCATAAGTGCCGACTATTTCTGGGAGGAAGCAGTTCTTGTTGGGGCAGTTGGGGGGGAACTCCTCCACTACAGTTGCCAGTCCATCTCCCCACGGAGCCTTGGGGTAGCCGGTGAAGAAGACCTGGTTATCTCTGTCTTCCACTGGCCCAGCAAAGTTGTAGAACACGTTGGCTGTCTGCATTGTGTGGGGAGGGTGGGGGTAGTAAAGAAAAAAAAATCACAGAATTATTCCATCTTAAGCTAAGTATATAGTATACAGTGAGGTGTCCTAAAGAACAATGTTAAGCTTCAGGTGATGTTTGAATTGAGTAAAATCAATTATGGGCCTTCTTCATGTTTCGACATGTACAGTCTAATTTTTGGCAGTTGCAAATCAAATTGTTTGCATTCATATCTGTACAAAATTATTTAACAATCTACTTATCTTAAAGTTTGTAATGGTAACAAAAAGCATAATACAGTCCAGCTACATTCAGTACAAAATTTTGCTCATTGCGACTATGCCATTATAACATTTGTAAGTTAAACCTTCCTGTATCCTGTGTCAGCTTTCCAACTTAAGTCTCCTTTGACTACTGAATTTATAGACAATCATCTTATTTGATGATCACAAGACAAAGGTTGGCTGTCCAATTTGGCCAGTTGCTAATATGCCTTGCAAAGAGTGCTGAATTAATTATAAGTTGTGACTGTACAAAATAATTTTCATCCTACCTGATCATGTGGAAGACTAGTTTTGTCCAGGCTCTTACGAACTGCTGCTAGATTCTTATTGATTCTTTCTTGGGTCGGGAAGGCTGACACTCTCCTGACATAGGCTTGCAGGCTTTCATCACTCTTTATGTAAACCTACAAAGAAAACAATAATATTTTTTGTCATATCTTTTACCAAGAACATTACACACATTTGCATTCATGATCTGACTTATCTATACTTAGTTATATCTGTATCAACACTTCTACTATCTAATTACTTATTGTCTTAAATTTAACCATGGAGCAAGACAAACGATATATAAATTGGTCAGAAGATGTCTTTTAACAAACTCTAAATATCTAAGACTTAGTGCACAATGCATCCATGAAATTTCTGGAATTCCATTCCTCTTGTTTTTTGTGTTTAGGGTTGCTTTTCTTCAATGGAAAATTGTAAGACATGGGACAAACAAAAATATGATACCCTTCTATTGTGAAGAGAGTTATGTTCAGTCTTGAGAGTTACATAATGAAAGTTTATTGCAAATACATGCCCGAGGGATAATTGCAGGTACAAACGGCATGTTTAAAAAAAAAAGAAAGAAAAAACAATGGTATGAGAGAGTATGTCTAACATTATACAGTAACTACATTCTACAACACCCTGTCACACGAAGTAAGAATAAGCTAACACCCCCTACTCATTGTAGGAGTATAGAACATGCACATTCAGAAGCAAGCCACCAACAGGACCTGACATCTGAGATTCCACCTCTTTGCCATCTGGACTGCATTGAGCATACACGCTTTGTACCCTTAGCTACTAACCATAGAATAAAACCATGGAAATGCAATGAATCTGTCGTATCCTGACGTACAAAGCAACACACCCCACCTTTCTACTGTTGGGTGCAGGAGGCACTCCGTCCTGCAGTTTCCTCGGGAAGGGGACACAGAATTCAAAGACATCGTGGCAGATCCCAGCAGCCCTGTCAGCTTGTGATGTCCTTGCTATGTACTGAACATTGAGAATAGCAATGGAAAATGGTTCAGAGAACTTAATTCTCAAAAAGCTGACAGTATAACAAACACACAAATTCATACACTTTTCTATCATAATGATTTTGGTATTTGGTACATGTACTTAGATCTGCACTTTACAATGAAGTCAAAAAGATTTACATTATAATTCTATTTGACCATCCAGGGATCCATCTTTGGTTTGTTTGGAGGACTCTGGAGAAAGAAGACGGAGTGCATGTTTGCTGCTTACTAAATTGACATTCCTCATAAACAAACAAAGAAAGTTTGTAACACTAGAGAAGTAACATTTGCAAAGCAAATGCATAATGTTTACCTTCGGACATGGTCTGCTCTGTTAATTCTTACTCAAACACATTCACATACATGTACTACTAGTTTATGGTGACAGGAACAGAGCAGACCATGAAATTGCAATATTATGTAACCCAACACCAGTCACCATGGTGACAGATGTCAACAAACCATGTTATTGGTCAGGTCAGAGGCCACTGTTTGGAGAAGAAGAAAAGGAAGAAACTGAGCAAAAACAAAATGTTTTCCTTCGGTAAACATAATAAACTTACAGTGGTGATTCCAGGCAGGATGATTTCAGCTGTTATTCCTGCTTCGTTGTTCCCTTCGAAGTAACTCCTGACGGCGCGGAAAGTGTACGGATCCAGTTCAGGATGGCCACAGTTGTACACCTTACTCTGATAACACACCCAGTTCTCTGAAAATGTAGAAAACACAATGACTTTTCACTATACATAAAACGTCACTTAGTGCTAATGTCTCCTTCTTACAGGTGTATTAGCAAAGCTACATCATTCTCTAGCCTGGTTATCAGACCTATGATCCCGAGTCCTACATCCTCCACAAAATGTGGAGAGGATGTAGGACTTGGGAGCCACAATGGGTCTGGTAACCAGGCTATCATTCTCATGTACAATGTACCATCTGTAACATGAATTCTGGTAAGCCATTCCACCCTCACATCCCTATTTTGTATTTCTCTGTATGTATACTAGTTAATTTCTTTCTTTTTCATTTCTTTTTCTTTGTGTGATTTTTGACCATCTATACTACTGTGTCAAACACATCAATGAGCATTCCTATTGTAATACTACATGTATTTTCAATAAAAGAGAAAATATCATTACAATATTATAGATTGTTGTATATGTTGGATATTTTTTGCCATTAGGTAATTCCTGAGCTTAGAAGGAGCAGGGATTTTGACTAACTGGCAGTGAACTTGTGCGTTTGATAGTCTCCAATAACTTCGGGTACGTAGCAGTTTTCGCCTGGACAGTCCTCCGGGAAAGCTGTCAGCCCCTTGCCAACTCCGTCAGTCCAGTCAGGATCAGCATATCCGGTAAAGAACACCTGGTAGTCCCTGTCTTCTGGTAGCTTAGTATAGCTGTACCACAAATCTACACTCTGTAGGATATAGAGCATTTTATGAGGTTAATTGTTGTGTCTGCCGCCATATTGATATCTCTATTTAAATTTCAGCGAATCATGGTTCAAGTAGTTTCAAAGGCTTGAAGATTTTCTGACACTCTCAAATAAAATGTAACCAAGTGCCACACCAAAGACTATGTACAGCTCAAAGAAGAGAAAACCAGAAGAATAAAACATGGAAGTCAGTACCTGCTTGCTAAATTGATGGAGAGTCCAAGACTTTTGCATAATAAAGTGATAATCTAAATGTAATAAACTGTTCTGCTTGTTATGTCAATGAAGGTTAGACATCCAGGTTATATGATATGCCAAAAAAACAGTTACTCAAGCAACTGGATATGATTTTGGAAACAGTCAGACGTTTCGGACCATTTCCAAAATCATATCCAGTTGCTTGAGTAACTGCTTTTTGGTGTTCTGCTTGTTCTTGCTTGAAAAGGTTCATAAGAAGAAGAAGATTTTGTTGATGAATGATCTAACCGAGTCATAGTTGAGCCCGTGTGAATCCAGGCCCTCGCGTGTCTGATTGAAGGAATCATTGATGGCGTCTATGGTCTTCAATCCCTTCTTCTTGGTCACAAGTGTCTGTAGGCCACCTTTCCTCTTCTTGATGTAAAGCTATATCACAAAGAAAAGAATAGGTTGTAAAGACTACAAAGACCGACATTTGCTTGGGAGCAAATACAGCATATTTCAGTCTATCTCCCTCCCACGCAAAAGTGGACTATTCCAAACTTACCCCAGTAATAAATGAATTATAATTATATTATAGTTACTGTAGCTTTGTAATTGAGAACAAAGATGCAAGGTCCTGGAGAAGACTAAGGAAAGAAATTCAACTTAACGATTGACTGTTGCATCATCACATCTATCTGAAAAGCATGAAGAAGTCATTTTTACACAATACCCACCCGATCATCTGTTGGTGCTGGTGGTTCTTTCTTCTGGTACTCCCTCGGCAGGGGAATGCAGAGTTCCAGCATATCGTTGCAGGTTGAATCCATATCAGTCTCGTTTGTATATGTTATATACTGCAGGAAACCCAAAAAAATGAAAATGAAGAGGATTGGTTATACACAGGCAACATACAGCTGTATTACCCAAAGTATCAGCCCAACAAACATGCCCCTCCTTAATTTCTGTATCAAGTGACACGTAGGGCAGCACCCATCTACGTTTCAATTGTCCGGGCCACACACAGCAATGAAAACACTAACAGCAGGGGTGCGTCCACTGGTAGTGGTGTGTGTTGACCTCCCATATTCTTTCCCAAATGCGGAGTGCTATGCAGAGAAAGCAGCATGTACCATTTTTAAAGCTCACAACCTACCAAATACAAGGCGAGCACTCTACCCACTTGGCCATTGCACCGGTTACTTAAACATGTATTTTGTTTAAATTTAAATCTAATCTGCGCCCAAGCAGTCATCATCATCATCATTCATTCAAAGTTTGATCTCCAGAACTGCTTGTCATTCATTGCTGAAATAAGTTCCAGGCCCTCCAAGCCTGTTTCAGTTTCTATAGGTTTCCTAAGTGTTATGTTTGGACGTCCAATCCTTCTCTTAGTGTCAGTGTTCCAGAGTAGAAGCCTACTGGCTGGTTCTTTGGTACGTACAATGCCTAAGCAGTAGTGTTACATAGTCATACATACAGCGGTGATGGCAGGGCTGATGACCTCTGCCTTCAGTCCTGCTGTGTTGCTGCCGGAAAAGTACTTCCTGACGACATCGTACATCCCTTCCTCAGAACCCCAGGATGTGCAGTCGGTAACATTCTTCTTGTAACAAACCCAGTTTTCTGGAAAACAAAATAACACAGCTCTGTCTGAAGAAACAAGACTCAACTTTAGCAACTGCTCGTGACCCGCAATCATTTTTAAACTAAGTAAGATACGTAGTTAATTCAGAGGAAACAAATAAAAGGAAAGCAAACAGATTTTTAGAAGCTGCCAAGAAAAAAATCTACTGTTTGATGGTTTGAAAAGTTAGAAAACTACATTGAAACAAGTCAGAAGAAACTTACTAGCATCAATCTTGTGTTCAATCAGACCATCATGTTCTCCGATAGTTGTTGGGAGGAAGCAGTTATCATTTGGACAGTCATCGGGGAATGTGGGAGCTTCGTTGGCGAGTCCATCGCCCCATGGGGGCATGGCAAAACCAGCAAACAACACTCCAAAATCACCGGCTTCAGCAAGGCCACCATACCCATAGTAAACATGGACACTCTGAAACATAAACCATCACGTATTTGGTCATGCCATTATACCTTTCCTTGGTGCTGATTGGCTATCTCTTAAAGCCTCCAACTGTGCTGATTGGTTATCATTAATCCTTCTTTGGCAATGATTGGCTAACATGGGAGTGTCTCTTTATCTCTCCTTGGTGCTGATTGGCCATCCAATTCATTATCAGTAGTGTTGATTGGCTATCGTGTCAATTACCTATCCCAATCATTCCTCCTACGTGCTGATTGGCTATCCCATTCTTTGCTGATGCTTATTGGTTATTTCATCATCTAAATAAGATTAACTGGAGTTTCAAGACTGAAGACAGTACCCATGCAGAGGCAAATATTATTTACAAACTTCTTACCTGGTCATATCCAAGTCCCTCCAAATCGATGCTAGTGCGTACCCTCTCGATTGCTGCTGCATACGTTTCTGCGTGTCTGAAACCCATCTTCCTTGTCACGAACGTCTGCAGGGTTGCTCCTTTCTTGATGTAAACCTTGGAAGTATGGAAAGATAGGCATCATTCCCTTTAATAGGCAAACATGAAACTTGGAAGGTGGTGAACCCAAGATAGATTGTGAAAAATACAATTATGTTGATATTGTCTGTGTTTGTGTGTTTGTGTGTGTGTGTGTGTGTGTGTGTGTGTGTATGTGTGTGTGTGTGTGTGTGTGCGTGCATGCGTGTGTGTGTGTGCTTGTATGTCTCACATTCAAGCAGGACAGTCTACAAGAAAGTCTACCTCAAACAAGGAGCTTGCTTACATTATCTTCAGTGGGAGCTGGGATTCCTTTCTCCATGAAGTCCCTCGGAACAGGCACGCAAAATTCGTAGAAGTCCCTGCATTTTCCCGCAGCAATTTCAGCCTTATCCGTTCTGTAAGTCCACTGCAAAAAATTATTTAAAACAGTACTAAGTCTTTATCTATTTGTTTTACCATGACAGGTAGTACACTTCCATTCAGGGAGACCACACAAGAAGAAAACTTAACTTAGCAAATAACAGAAAACAATGTTCTTTCTAGGGGGCCTGCATGCCCTTTTTCGTAAGGTGTAATCAGGCCTTTTTAGTCTTCAGAATCCGTAGGCAGCCTTCCAAAAAATCAACGTAATTTGTAATAGTACATTAGCTGTAAAGCATAAAGTCATAATCAGCTCTGAGACTTTAACGTAATTCGTAATCGGCAGCGAAAACCCCCATGCAGGCCCTCTTCTTTCAAGCTTCAGTTGCTACAGAATACATTGCATCACAGCAGATGTTATCAAATACAATCATGATTTTGCAGTGAAGCCCTGTACAATGTAAAATTTATAAGGCCACACCAATTTAATTTCTTGGTTAACGGATTTTTCTAGAAAAATAATGGAGCGGGCGGGCGAAAAAAATAAAAATAAAAACAGGCCTAGTCATCCTATTATGGCCCAAAATGGTACGATAGGAGTCATGAAGTCAACACACCAGGCTGGTTGAGCCTGGTTCAAAATTTAAACAATGAATTTTGAACTTTTAATGATACCACTGCATTGAAAGACGGAATGACTGTAACAAGTAGTAAGAAAAGGACTGTTTTCAACTGTTCAGGGCAAAATATAAGCATTTTGCAGTTGATTCTTAATTTTTATTTTTATTTGCAAATCGGAAAAAAATGAAGCGGCGAATCCGTTAACCAAGAAATTAAATTGGTGTGGCCTAAAGTTGCAAAACAAATCCTTACGCTGAAGATACTGGGCTGTATTATGCCTGCAGTTGCTTCTGCTTCATTTTTGCCCTCAAAGTAACCCCGGACTGCTGAGAAAATAGGGGCGGTGATCTGTGGGTTGGCACAGTCTTCTATTTCACCCTTTCCACAAATAAAGTTTCCTAGAACAGAAAAGGAAAGAAAGACAACATTTGAGAAACAAAGTTAACGTATTCACACAAGTCATAAATGAAAGCTATTACTGAATGTATGTACAAATGTAGTAAAGGACTTGAAATTAAAACTCTTGACAAAAGTAATGAAGGATTTACTCAATGGTTTCAAAGATCTTTTTCTTGCAAAAACTAAATGTAAATAGTTAATACTAACTCATTTAAAAAGGATACATGTTATGGCTTGACTTACCCTAGGCAACTGTGTTATCATGTACTAAATGATTGTAATAAAATGACCAATATGTTGGATCATTTGGCTCTTAAAGTATGGTACAAATAGACGGGATCTCATTCTTGAAGAATTCAAAGGCCATATCATTAAGGAATCACAAAGGGGACAAAGTATAGAATATCAGTTTAGCACAGTCAGATTCAGTACAAAGCTTACCGAGGGAGAACTTGTGCTCCAGGAATCCCTGATGTTCACCGATCTTCTCTGGGATGAAACACGTGCCATTTGGACACTCGGGAGGGAACATGTTCACAATGTCAGGCATTCCGAGACCATCGCCCCAAGGTGCCATGGCATAGCCAGCGTAGAAGTTCTGATGTTCCTCATCCTCATTCCATCCGTGGTAGGTGTAAACCACATCTACGGACTAAATGGCAGGAAAACAACAAGTCAAGATCTGCATAGCACAGTTTTTATCCCATCTGTTTTCTGTTCTCTTAACCTGTCACTTAGTATTGCATTGGTCATCCTCTAATATTAACATTACAAACTTACAACGAAGTAAATTTTTTGCCTGAGAAAATATTACTAGCATAGAGTGACAGGAGGTGATCAAGGACATAATATATGTAATGGTACTGATAGTCTAAGCATTATTTGCAAGAATAACAAACTACATGTAACAAGATGATACAACAAACACTTCATAGACGTATGTCTGATTGAGTTTTCAAATTCTTCTTGTTCTCTCTCCTCTCTCTCTTTCTATCCAGTTTAACGCCTTTCTTCGCCCGAAACGGGGGGTTAGACATATGCTTGCATCAAGTGTAAGTTTTTTTTTAAGCAAGATTTTTTACGGCTGGATGCCCTTCCTAACGCCAACCCAAACCCTAGTAGGGCCCAGGATCCCCCCAACTGTGGGAAGTTAATTTGTTAAGTGTAGTTTTTTGTACCTGATCATACAGCATGCCGTGTTTATCCAGGCTCAAACGAACATTCTTCAGGGCTTCATCGACAGCCCCTTGGGCGATGGGCCCATCCCTCTTCACCACATACGTCTGTAGACTCTGTCCCTTCTTAATCACCACCTACATGTACATGTAGCAAAAGTAAAAATGAGTATGGTCAATACATGCATAATATACAGCAGTTGTAGTCTGCACAAATGTGCTCTTATCTTACAATGTCAAACAGAAAGGTGTCATCCTGCACAGGAATGAAAAAATGCTATGAACCAACAGGCTATAAAATGGACTAACTGAAGATGATGCATAGCTGTCAGCAGTGGTAGAATTTTTTTTTCACTGTGCTGCAATATTTTGCAGATCATCAAAATTTTGTTCAGTCTGCAATTTGAAAATACTTTCTGCAAATACACACTTAAAAGTCTGGATCTAAACTCAAGGCGTATACAAAATTGCATATTTGCAAACATTTTACATGCAAAATTACTTGAATGTACATGTATATTGTAGAGTCGGTAATAAACACAAAAGCATTGAACCCTAGCCATAGCCTGATATTTGCAGTCTGCAAAATTGCAGGTTTTTCTTCTGCAATTGTATTGAAAGTGCAGGTGGGTATTTCTAACACTGCTGTCAGTAATGTGGAAGATGTCAGTTCACAATGAATTTGTGTATCAACCCACCGCATCATTGGTTGGTGCAGGAGGCTCTCCATCAGAGAAGCCCTTTGGTACAGGCATGCAGATCTCAAATGTGTCCTTACAGGTGCCGGCAGCTCTCTCATCGGGTGGTGTCTTTGTGGTGTGCTACAGTACAGAAAGGAGAAAGGAGAACAACATTTAAACTTTTTAGCATATTGTGTACATAACAACTGTGGTTCCAAGGGAAGAATTGAATAAAAAATAAAATGTCAACTGAGCTTGATTCAATGTTATGTCATAAGAAATTAGTAATACCTACATGTTTACTTGGTGTGGTACAAAAAAAGATTTGATTTATTAGACTGTATAAAGAGAATCAGCCAAGGCTGTCCAACTACATGTACAAAATGTAGCTGTATATAGAGTCTATCAAAAAGGGCTAGCCTTGAAGTTCATAACTTGACAATAAACAAATTAATATGATATGAGAACATTTACTATTCAGATGCAAGATGCAGATGCAAGTACTGCTTTTTCACCAACAAAAACCTTTTTTTTTTCTTTGGTACACTCAAACGTGGTACTTGCACTTGCTAAGCATTTTCATTGCCCACTTACGGTAGTGACAGCAGGGCTCATTTTCTGGTCGGCTTTAGTACCGGCCTCGTTGTTTCCATTGAAATAATCTGCAGTGGCTTTCAGCATGGAGCGAGAGACACTTGGGTGGCCACAGCTGTGCTCAGTGCTCTGGACACATGCCCAGTAGTCTGGAAGTAAGGAAAAGAGTACAATAAACAGTCAATTCTACAGTATTAGCAGTTCCCTCATATAGTAAAGTTGAATATTGTTCTTTTTTTCTGACATTGTGTCAAAGTCAAAGTGTCCACACTCAGTGAGATAGTGAGATACAATGTGAACAATTTGATCACAGTATCATGATAAAGTATAATATTCAAGGGATGCTAATAATGATACAGTCTAGTGCACAGACCTGAATGTAGCCATGTGTACAAATGTATGCTGGGTGATCCTAGACATTTTTTACAGTGGAACATGCCATCATCAAGCAAGAAAAGTAACAACAGATTCATGCTAGCAAACTGCACTGACCAACATGGAACTTGTGCTCGATGTATCCGGCATTTTCTCCCAGGATCTCTGGTACAAAGCAGTCATCCCCAGGACAACCCTCGGGGTACGTCCTGTCTTCCTCTTCCTCAGGCCAGTAGAACAGCGGCTTCAGTACATCTGGTACAGACGTGTCAAGGGCCTTCTGGAACTCGTGCAGCAGTGAATAACTCTGGGGAAAAGATAGAGAAAAACTATTAGATTCAGATTCTTTATTGACACAACAAAAAGTACAGGGACTTTTGTATTGGTCTTCTACAACTAAAGGTCTAACAAAGTTAAATACATGTATGGATAACTTCATCCTACGTACAGAATATATGATTGTATCTGTATCTGTATAGCCGGTATAACTGCCTTTTGGCGTAACACACCAGCTTATGTGGCAAATTATATACATAATATATATCAGTTGTATTAGTTAGAAGGCAGCAACTTAAGCAATGATTTTCATAGGATTCTGGAACAACTGAGAAAACTATGTCAGCTATATCATGGCACATTTATGCCTTCCTTACAAATGTACATGTAGATTAGTTGACGCATACTAGTAGCTATAGCGTAGGTAGCAACTATCAGAGTGGACGTAAACTAACCAGGGTGGTAACCATTGATCCAGCATAGCTAAGAACTGTCAGCTGGGTAAAACACCATACAGGTTGTGAGCTTATTTCCTGAATGTCTACTGACCTGTTTCAGCAACCAGATCTCCTTAAAGTGTTCCCCCTGGACATCACTGTCCAAGTCATAGTCAGCAACTCCACCAGTCTGGAGTGGAGAGGAGAGAGTAGATAGTTCGCCAGCAGCCGATGAAATGTTTTATAAATTTAAACAAATAATACAGATTTTACATCAGATACCAATTCTACTTTTTGTATATTCTGTAGCCTGTGTGTAGCCTACACACTAGGTTTTGTAATTGTAATCTAGCAGACTAAATGAAGTTATTCAGGTGGGCATGCTTAATAGAGCATTAAGCATAATGCATTTAAATCCACAAAGGTTGGCAAATACACTGTCAACTATGTCCAAAAACTGTCCTTGAAATCTGGTAAATACAGAATGCTATCTATTACATTCCTGTTGTTCATTACAATGAATAACTGAAACATTAGGTACTGTGAATAAGCTGTATATCAGAAAGTCAGAGAATTTCCTCACGTGGAAGAATTTGCCATCCAAATCCAAGTCTCTCATGGATAGAGTCATGTTGCGTGCTAGCTCCAGGAAACGTTCCCCAAACACGTCCTCTCCCGGCGGCACGTGGTACGGCAGCTGGTACGCCGCAAAGTCATCAGCCTTTATTACAATTATCTGGGGAAAAGGGGGAATTCGATCTTGAATTGTTTAGAAGAAATTGGAATTTATCTGAGTGTGTTTCTAGTTTTCTAGACTTTGTAGGAAATAAACTCTATCTGATAGTATGTTCAAATCTTTTCAGTGATTTTAACATAGAGATTGACTTTTAGACTGATAACCACTGTCTTGACATGTATCTATTGGGAATAGACTTATACAAGTCCTTGTAATTTACAATGTATAGAATATTGTCAGTAGCAAATCATAACAAAATACATTGTACAAAGTTTGGCAACAAATGACATGACCTATATGGGTTACATAACAAATATACATTTGTGAAACATGTACATGTAACATACTCTGTTATCAACAGGCTCTGGTGGATTTTCCAGGTGTTCTTCCGGTAAGAAGGCGACGGTGGTGTATGTAACGTCACATTCACTCATCTCGTGACCCAAGGTTCTGGGGTCCTGGGGAATACAAGTTGCACAAAAATGTTCACTGGTTGGAAAGTTGTGCATAACAAAAGAAACAAAACAAAACAAAACAATTTTTGATATCATTGAAACTATTTTAAGTATTATTAGTAAATTTATTGTATCATCTCTAGATGGTGCTATGATATCTTAATGATTCAGTAAAAAGTTGAGGATTTTTCAAGTAGAATTCTTATCTTTGAAATATTGTTGTCTATAAAGACTTAGCTAAAAGAAATAAATATCTGATATTATTACATAATCCAGGCCTTACCATGGTGAGAACTGGTTTGAGCATCTTAAAGGCGACTTCCTCTTTGTTGTAGCCGTTGATGTACTTCAGGATGATGCTCATGGCCTTCCTCTTGGCAGATTCTGCGGTGCAGTCCTTAATACTGACAAAGACTCCAGCAGCTGCCAATACATGAAGGAATAATCTTGGTAAGTGGTGACTTTGAATTGCGCCCAGCTCGAAATGTCATACAAAAATTATTATTTGAATGATTATGATATAGATATGTTAGGTTTTATTCGACATTAGGTTTTATTCAACACACTTATTTTATTGTTACTCTCTTCATGTAGTTTGCCATACAATGTACCATGTGCAATTGTCATGCAATAAAGTTCCTGTATTTACTACAAAATGTCATCATTGATACCTTACATGAAATTTAAGTTAACCTAAAAATTGCAAAAAAATATTTTGTGTTTTATCAAACTTTGCATTCTAAACTCAATGATAAAAATTCTTGTGTAGTACTTGATCAACGAAGACCTGAGAACACCGGACTTTAAATTTCGATGAAGGTACTATTCTGTTGAATATATCCTAATGATTGATACCCTTAACCCAGTGATGACATCAGAGAAGCCATGTGACAAGCTTCACTGGGTCAATCTACTGGGGAAGACCAGAGTGACTGGTCAAAAGCTCTAGGTAAGAGAACTTTTCGTGTTGGATTGAAAGTCTTAACTTTAAACATATCCTAATGATTGTACATGATGATTACATGACAGACAGGTTACCTTTGTTGTAAAAATTCTCATGGATTTTTCCATACTGCTCCACCCTCTCAGGAACCAGACAGTCGGAGTGATGATGGTTCTCATCGTCAGAATGATCGCAGTGATGTCCCACCTTCAGGGGTTCCACAGACTCAAGCCTGAAGGCAACAGGAGGAGTACACAGTATTAAAGTTTCCAACATTTCCAAAGAGTAACAATTTGTTAGTTTTTTTCTTCAGTCTTTTTTTTTCACATCAGAGAGTGTAATAGACATTAACAATACTGTCATTCAAACAGTGTTTATAAAGGTGTATGTACATGTAGTTGTACATTACAGTCATCGTGGTCTTACTGTTATTTACATGTAGGACTGGTAAGCCACAGCTGGACACACAGAACCTGACATGATGTCTTAGTCATCATCGAGAACGACAAAGAGCAACTGTCTTATCTGTCAGATTGAGTCAGTAATTATATGGTTTTTACCTGTCCTCTGGATGTCTGAAGTCTACAATGGGGTCACCTTCATACCAGCTGCAGCTTGGCTTCACATCAAACTTCACCTGGAAATGAGTGTACAAGGATCTAAATGGCATGTAACATAGAGATACATAGAGATCTTCGTTCAATTCAGTGAAAGCGCATTATGCATCTGGAGATGTTATCAAAGGCAAATGCTTATGTTCATGAGAACTGGCCTGACTGACTTTGATAATGAAGATGACAACTGGAAAGCCTTAACTAAAAGCATTAGAGTACTAGTGAGAAGGCAAGGCAGTTGAAATACCAGATCTAGTAAGCCAGTAACTGTAATTTTTGCTACATTTAAGAAATAAAAATAGATACAAAATTACACCCTAACACTTCTTTATGTCTCATGACTGTATTTCACCATCAAAATAGCTATTATTTAATTAATACTTCTTAACAAGGTTAACAAGGTTCCTTACTTGTGAACAAGGTTCCTTACCTCATTGAACCTGTCAAACAGTCGAGACTCGCCATAGAACTGATCAGTGACAAAGTTCCCAGCGCAGTGGTCCACACCGAACCTGTGTAGGTCGTTGTGAAGCCTCTTCGCCATGGTGAACAGAGTGTCGGCATCTGCGTACCCTGCCAGGCACTTGGCTGCCATCTTGTGGCTTTTCCACGACTGCTTGTGGACTGCCTCCTGTGTAAGAAGTCAAGGAAGAAAAGTCAAGGGAGAAATACCTGCCTTTGGATCAAAACATACACAAGGCAATCAGAGATGGCAGACTTCAGCCCCCCTTCGTCATGTAATAGTAGGGGTTTCCGGAAAAGGCTGTGCTGTGCATGTGCATGTGCTGTGCCCCTCTTCAGGGCCCCAAGCCATCACATGTTAAAGCTGCATTATGAAACTTTTTACGCAAAAATTTTAAAATATTCTAATTATGCTAAATTTCGGTGTTATCAACAGTTACTATCACTTTTTAACACATTTGTGTCATTATTTCACATTTCTGACGTATATTTTGTGCGTTCAAACAGTTCTTGTTCAGTTCCCGGTGCCACCGGTTTGCTCAGGACAACAACAACAACAGGCAGTGGTTGGCCCCCCTAGTGTGGCTAATTGGTCGGGCATGACAGGATAGATAGACAGGAGCACATGTCACAAGATTGACTTCTTAATTGGAAACACTCATATCTTTGACATGAAGCGGAATATGATTATCAACTTAGTGTATCTTATTGGGTATCAATAAACTGTGCCATTATCCCTTCAAAAGAGATTAAAAAATCTGGTAAATGATGAGGTCTTTCAGAAATGTGTACAAAGCTGTCAACTGACGCCCCACTGGGAGGTACATGTACCATATGTGGACAATACCATATGTTAGTCTCCACCAGACTCCTTTGCAGGCTGAATAAATAGTAGAAATTGGCTAAGGGGAACATCATTGGCCAGAGGAGTTGGCCGGCCATAGAGGGTCCAGCTTACCTGCAGGAGACTAACCATACATGTATGTGCGGTGTGGCCAGAGGTTTGAATAGAAGATCATTCACAGTTTTGTAAGCTCATAAGGAGCAAGGATGTTGTATTTTTGTTGCTGCGTATTATTCTGGAACACTAAAGGGTTAAGTCAACGTACTTTGTAAAGAAAAGAATGGAAAATATACTTCTTGTATTGTCAAAAAGTCACATAATGGCTTGGGGCCCTGAAGAGGGGCACAGCACATGCACATGCACAGCACAGCCTTTTCCGGAAACCCTAATAGTAGAGCTTTAGACATACATGTAATTACTCATAATGCTTTGCAACCCTTCTAGCCCTATTTGTACACACACACACACACACACACACACACACACACACACACATACACACACTAGTACTAATTGTTGTGCATTGGTTATATTAAGTTCACCTAACTTATAAGATACATGTACTTGAACTAAAGATCAGATCAGATCAACAAAAGGCAAATGTGAATTGCTAATTAAATACAGTATTCATATACGTACTGTTTCTTCACCCTTGAAGTCAGCATCAACAGTACATCTGTAGAGAAACTGGTTGGGGCAGGATTTCTTGTTCCAAGTGTTCTCCTTGGCCATTACAGTCCACTCAGAGTGCATCATGGAAAACTCCTTCATCTTGCCAAGATCTGCAGGATTGAAATTGATATGTTACTTTTACTGTAGCCTCAGGATATAGGCTCAAAGTTAAGCCATGTTGATTTGATTATATGGATGACATCCTCTGGGAGCCCCAAAACTGATGCGAGCGTGCGAATAAAAAAAAGTTTTGCAAAAAAAAAAAGTTCTTTTCATTATGACATCTACGTGGTCATGAGGGTTGAGAAAATGGCACAGAATATGGTTTGGCGAATAATCTAGTCTTCAAGTTCATTTCTTTACAATATCGTCTTTTTTTGTTTGATTTTGGCATTCTACGACATTGGTATAGTTTTTATTAATTTTTTTTGTAACTTATGGTATATTTTTGTTCATTTTGCAACTGTTTTGTACGATTTACAGTATGGTTGAAAACTTTCTTTTTTTTTGGAAACGGCCGAAAATTCATGCGCGCGCGGATGTCATCCATATAATCAGATCAACATGGCCTTAGCCATAACATGCTAGGCTCAAAGTTAGCCATAACATGCTAGGCTCAAAGTTAGCCATAACATGCTAGGCTCAAAGTTAGCCATAACATGCTAGGCTCAATGTTAGCCAGTGAATCAGGGCCTAAATGAGGGGGGCTGTGGTATGATATTCTTGGGGACATGTTGGCTCTGAAGTCAAGGAACTGGCCTTTGAATTTTTAGCCCTGAAAACAGTCTGACACCCCGGCTACTTTTACAGATGAAATGTGACTATAACTTCAATTTTTCTCTCTTGACTGTTGAAAATCAACAATTGTACAAAACAATAGCACATTTTCAGTTATTGTAAAGAACTACTGAAATGCTGTAAGATACAATGTTTCCATACATTATAACCTACCTTTCATGTACTCAAAGAAAATGGGTTGACCCAATGCATCCACATCTTCTGCATTACATGTGTGAACAGGAACTTCCAGAATGGCTTGTTCAAAATACTTGCGTACTTCAGTGCTGGGAGTGTAGCTCTTCTCCAGCTTGTAATGACAGCCATGGCCAGCAGCTAACATTCAGCAAAAGAAAAGGTACAAGTTAGTCAAGAAATATACAGAGTCTGTGTCTTCTGATTTTGTTCTGTAGCATTAAGTTGACTTAAACAAAACTGATGTAGGTAAATTTGTCTTTGAATCAGATGTGACAGTTTTGCAACAGAGCATACTTGTCTTGAGTTAAGAAACAAAATACATATGATTCATGCTATTGCACTGACTAGACAGCTATACCTGCTCCAGCCTACCAGGTATAGTATGCTCAATTTCACAGAGGTGAATCTGCGCACATAAATGTTATAGTATAGCTTTTGCAGCTGGTTCCAGACTAGTCGATACGTGAAGAGAATAAGTTCCACATGGCTGTCCAACTCACAAGCACAGTGATCCTTTTGACACTCGCGTTCCAAGTCCACATTGATGACCTCCTCATCGTGAGACCACGTCACTGAGCTGTGCACGCCGCACGTGTCCTGGTGGGAGTTACACTGGCTCTGGATACATTTGGGCAGCCTCATGTCACTGTGATCCAGCCCCTCGGCCCGGCTGTAGAACTCGTGAGTGTGCTTGTTCATGGCAAAAATGGCAATCTCGTTGACTGAAGGCTTGGTGGGTGACCTGTTGGAAATCAAAAACAAAAATGTATCTCTTACATGATCATATAACGTTACATGTACATGTAGGAAGTGGGAAACAAGATGTAAGAAAAATGCAAGACTTTAAGAAAGCAGGGAAGTAGGGAAGAAGGAAGAATGGTGTATATGGCCATAAATACATGTAGCACAACTCTGGAATGGCCAAAAGTTGCACATTGCAACATACTTATAACCTCACCTCTTGTACTGGAAGATGTAATAGTAGTCGTCCTGACCAATGATAGGTTCCTCGTTCTTACTGAGCAGCTGGAAGAATCTCTTTGCCTCCCTGTCTGCCACAAAACCAGCCGCCTTTTGCGGGAAGATTCTGACGTACATGATTGTCTCCGGGACAATTTCCATGACCACCTGTACAGAAAAAGTCCATTCAGTGACAATTGAATACAATTTCACATACAATGCACAATGTATGATGGAAAAAGAGGTTTGATTTGCAAAACCAGGAAGTTCTGAAAATGATCCCGATATAAACAGATTTTCTTTCCTGTCTCAACCATTAATTTCAATGAATAACTAAGAGACTGACTGAGTGACTGACTGACTGACTGACTAAGTGACTGACTGAGTGACTGACTGAGTGAGTGACTGACTCAGTGAGTGACTGACTCAGTGACTGATTGACTGAGTGACTGACTAAGTGACTGACTCAGTGACTGATTGACTGAGTGACTGACTAAGTGACTGACTCAGTGACTGACTGACTGTCTGACTGACTCAGTGACTGATTGAGTGACTGACTGACTGACTTCTTCTCGAGTCACTGCTACATTCTTCACTCTACACTGAGTGACTGAATGAATGACTTTGTTACCTTCCCATCTGTTGGAATGGGTGGCATCTTCCACAGCTTCTTGGGCAGCAGAACAGACACGGTGACTTCTCGCTGCTCGTCCTTCCCGCTGTGGGTCTGCAGGACGTACGGAGACTCTCGCTGGATACTCGTTCCTGGAGGAAGAAAGAAGTTGATGAGTAGAAATCTCAAATAACAATAGGAGCTAGAAACTTAAGGTAACATTTGCAAGGCAAATACACGTTTACCTTTGCATATGGTTTGCTTTGTTAATTCTTACTCAAACACATTTATTATGGTCAGACAGGAGTATAAATCCCTCCTGCTATAAAATTGCAACACGATGCAACCTAACACTAGCTACCATCTTAACAGACACAACATTGGTTCAGGTCATTGAGGTCACTGTTTGGAGAAGAAGAAGAAGAAATGTAGCAAAAACAATATGTTTTCCTTCGGTAAACACAATTAGCAAATAAACTAATTTCCAAGCAGCTCCAATGGCCCCTGTAACCATTGTGGTGCAGCCAATGGTTACAGAAAGCCAATGGATACAGGTGGCCAGTATAGACTCCCCTTGCCCCACAGAATCTGCTTGGAAATTACAAATACACTTCTTCATCACACTTGTTAAAAATGCTACCTCATTGACATAACATATTATTGTGGACAAAGTTGAACAATTTGGCCGTCTGTACTTGCCTTGGTCATTGTCACCATTAAGGAACTTGGACAGCCGGAAGCGGGCATTGTTGTACGCTGTTGTCAGGGACTCGTCGTGCACAGTTGTTGAGACCCACAGACCTCGGTGCAGGCGCCTTACTTGGTACTCGTCATTGGAACACAGACACTCCTGCCAGCCGTTCAAATCTCCGCAGTCCGGGCTGTCGGGAGTAAACATTTATTAAAACAAATGAACAAACAAACAGATTAGTCTGACTAGAGAACATAACACAATGGAAATAGTTCAATACCAGAAAATAATTCCACTTAACCTTTTTTTTAGTGCAGACATTAAACACTATCTGAAATAAACTGTAGTATAAGGGGTTGAATTGACTGGTCTGCCATTTCGGTCAGCCGGACCGGACCACTTTTTCCACAAACCCGAATTGTAAGATGATAGTCTTTGCACTTTTCTTGCCATGCATTTTTACATCAAAATTGTGGTTACGACGAATCAAGTCCAACGCAGAAGACATAAATGAACACAACACAAAAGGGTCTATGCATCTGACTTGAAAATCTAGTTTGGATAAGATAAGATAAAAAGTGGATAAGATACAAGATTTAAATTTTACTTCTCTACTTAGTAGTGGTACAAGAACTTACTACACACTGCAAAGATGTGCAAAACAAGCCGGAAACAAACATTCTTCTTAAATATCTATAACGTTAACTACATTTATGAAGCTGACGAATAAAACCTGGCACGTAAATTGCTGAAGAGACAGGAAACTATGACCAGAGACATTGTACAAGACATTGTGTGTATAATGTCCTTGCTATGACATATAGAGCGGGAAGTTTAGAACTAAGTTCAAAGGTCAGTGGAATGAGCGATGTGGCCAAAAGCAGGGGGGTGACCAGGCCTTGCGAAGTGATCGACTTTGGTCAGTGGGCGGCCCCCTACTATTCTTCAAGCAGATGTTGGCTCGTACGCGTATATCATAGACTTCCTTTACCGGTCGTTTCAAGATCTTTTAAGGCTTTTCAAGTGCTAGGGAAGGATTCTGGAACCTTCAAGTTCACCCCATTTCCTGTATCTGATCTTTTCACCACCCGTCATTCTGCCTGTCAATCTTCTCCCAGCCACGCGCTGTCAACCTAGTCTGTGCAGACAAGCACACGCAAATCCACAGACAATACTTCCGTACGGGGAAGTTAAGTAATGATGGCAATTCCAGACATCCAAATCCTTATTAAGGTCTACTTACTCGGACTTGGACTGCACGGCCAGGGCGGCCACCGTCAGCAGGGCTAGCCATCGGACCACTCCCATATCTGCCTGTGTGGAAAAGTTTTGAATTATGAGACGAAATGTCGTTTAGACGGGGGACGATACCGACTTCCAGTCTTTTATGAGATCGAAAATATGTAACGTTATATATAAGATTAGATACGATGATATAAGATTAAAGATATAGAAGATATGAAGTGTTGAGTACAGATATAAACTTTCTTCAGACCGGTGTGATTTTTCTGTTTGTTAAAATAGCGTCAAATAGTTCCATACTCCACTATGATGACTACTATGGCTTTGTCACTGTGAGAACAGCTCTGAAGTGGTTTAACATTTTCCCGTTTGCTCATTCATTTTAGTTTATTTGAATGGCCAAAGTCCTAGTGCTGAACAGAACTATAGGTGATCTATCCGTACTTTGGCGCCTATTGACCAGACCTAGCGGCAGGGGGTTGCCTTGTGTATTCAACCTAAAAACTGTACATCTTTGGTTGACCTGGAGCCAAAGCGATGGTCCCTGTAGGTCCAAACTACAGTTTGACTTCCAGACTAAGCTTTGGCCCTCTCAGTGATAAGTTGTACAAGGCCAGATGGTGACTAGGCAAGAATACAGTTGAAACAAAGTACTCAAAGTTTCTGCAACGTCAGCCCTATATCCGAGCCTTGCAATACATTAATAGGCGCCGTACGTGCGCTGAAACACCTACACGCTGACCGTACAGTTTTTGTTTGATTAATCGGTATCAAAGTTTTTACCTTTATCTCCTCATGTAAACACCATTGTGTTACTGCTGTACCAGGGTAACGGTCACGCTGCCCTTTGGTTAATACAGTATAGGAACCCGCCCAAAACCTAGCTGTGCATTTGAAATTCTTGTTTTTTCTACTACATTTACGGTAACATGTTAGGTGCGTCTCAGTTACATTTGCGAGCAGACTCTTACCAGGCCGTCAGTTGAACATAGCTACATGTAGTACTAGTGGAGCCCATTCAACAAACAGAACTAATAAAAATAGGAGCATCCTTTAACATGTGCAACGTTTGCTATCCTACACGTGTCGTGACCACAATCGTACGTTTCTTTATTGGTCAAAACCTAGTCACCCTGGTTACCCCTTAACTCTCGCTTGGCACTTATTTCAATGACGTATATCTTTGTAAGGGTTATATGGTGACTTTTTTGCAGGTGGTGACAGCAGTAGACAATGGTATCATAGTCCATATTTGAAAGCGCCGTAAGTTACCTATTTATCACATATAGCAAACACCATTGTCTATGAAACACAGTAGTGCTTTATAAGGAGATTCAGATAGCGTTATAGCGTGGACAAGAAGTTACATCTATTTCCTAAAACAATATATTGTACGGTTGACTCAAATTAAACTAAAAATCGATTCGATTCGTACAGAAAGGTAGGCGTGGCTTAAACATGATCAGATGAGACTGCCCACGAACTTTAGCCGACCATGATCGGCTGGTGTTCGGGGGCGAGTCGGGGGAGGTCCTGAATGTGTGGCGGAGGCTTTACTATTAGATATTAGTTGGAACGTGTCCAGCTTTCCTCTACCAATCAGAAGAAACGGTTTTCTTGCTCTTAAAGTCCACATAATTGAGGTGGCCGAGCTCCAACTGGAAACGCCCACTTTTTTTGGCTATGTATCAAGTATTTTTTTTGCAAACTGTACTATTACATCGGAACACTTTTTGCCCTAGCTCAGAAAAATCCTGCAATAGAACTACGCATGACTAAAATCGTCAACATCAATACATATCTCAGGGACATAATTTTGTTCCAGCGTAGCTGAGAATTGCATTAAATGAAAAATATCTAACATTCGTATTATATTGATGAACACTGGATTAAATTTGAATGTAGGCTCCATCAGAAATAAAAACTGAAGAGTACTTACTGACTTTGTGGGATGCTTCAACCAGCAGCAAACAGACACCTGTTTTTTTCGCGCTAGCACTTAGCCACTCGCAAAAATAGTCTGTCTGGTGAAGCGGCCAAACTTTTATACTCTCGCTGACGTCATGGCTCAACCGCCAAGGGTTAGTTCTTCGGCGCATGCGTAGGTAAACGTTTCATATTGACTTAAGAAGAGCAAGGACAGTAAACAGTCTACCCGGGGTTGCGAAAAAAAGCAATCACTTCAAAACACGCAAATATTTTTCACCTGAAAACAGCTTTACTGATCATATGACGATGGGGGTAGTTGATTGAAAAGAGCGACACAAGGCTACTGACAAGAGATCCGAACGATTCCCTTTCCCCAAATGGATTGCTCTGCTTGGTTATAAGCCTGATAAGGTACCATATACTGGAACAAGAACCGGTTTGGACTGGATTCGTAACATGTACTCTCACCTACCCTTGCAAGAAAGTGAATTAAGTACTGGTATGACCAAAGCTTTCCACTGAAATAAACACCACAGAATTACATTGTTGAATTTCTCCTGCATATCAGGGCTAACAGCACGAGCTCGAGGTCATCGCTACACACCGCATGCGGTTGATTTTTTTAAATTGTCGAGTCAGCACTTAGGAGAATATTTGATCGTTAACTCAGCAGTAGTGTAACGTTAACGTCAGGACCGACAAAAGACGCGAAAATTGCAAAGTTTTGTGCACAACGTTAGTTTATATAAAACGCGTTGTACCCCGCGATTTGATCATGATTTTTCTACTGGACATGAAAACCTTCTGTTCACAGTTCTAGCGTTCAGCGTGTGACAATAGCTCCACGTGGCTCGACTTTTGGTCAGTAAACACTCCACGTGTTTACCTGTGTGCTAAAATCGGACTCACGTGCCCGTACGCAAAGGTATGGGCTGAATCATATCTTCGGACTGTGACATGAAAGGGTCCCGCGGTGACCAGACCACCTGCATCGTCTCATAAACATCCCTGCTTTATCATCTCCGTTATCAGGGCTCCTCTCCTATGGGGAAGGTTTTGTTTGTCACTGCCTATTTTCTGTTTTTCGTCCCGTCGGAGATGATAACAACAAAACAGTGCCAGTGTTCGCAGTCTATTGAACAATATATTATATAAATGGTCATCTGTAGCCTGGATTCCAGACCCATAACACACGAGGTCCAGTGTTATCCAGAATCAGGGCCTAACTGAGCGGTGGCTGTAGTATATATAATTTCAGTGGGGCATGTTGGCCCTGGAGTCGAGGACCTGGCCTGTGTAGGCCCTGGAAACAGTCTGTCACCCAGGCTAATGTTCAGTCGGCGGGACAAAAGGAACAGCCGAATATTAAACCATATATATACATTTGAATCTGTAAAGGATTAGGGTTTTAAACAATTTTACAATTTTTATTTCTGGTCAAATTTGATGGCGTTGTAGGGCATTGTATTTGAGGGCATTATTTTAGTTATCGTATGAAATCAGTCAATAGACCGTACCGGGCTATGAAGTACAATATAGCACGGTTCACAAGCATAGGAACGGACATTAATGTCATTAATTTATCTTTTAGTATGACTTTCTTTTAACCGATTCATTTTTAACTTCAAATCTCCGCTTGAAGACGCACCAAGCTTTTTTTTATGAGACTTTGACTGAGATGTTCTGGATGAGTTTTGTTTCCAGAAAAATCTGAAGAATGGCAAGGATCTAGGAGACAAGATGATCGCATGGAGATAACTGAAACGCAAACAATGGGCGTGTCTTCTCTCTGATCCTAAATGATTAACATCGAATGACAGACCTTTAACACACATCTGGTCGCGACTCCGCCGATCAGTTCCTTGTGCTGAAGCCGTGAGGAGTAGTTGGTCTTTCTTGCTGTGCGCCGAACGACTTACTTAGATGTCCACTATGTTGCAGGCCGTAGTTCTGCTTCTGTTGGTGGTAGCCCACATCGGTAATGCCGACAACAGCGCGGTTTCGCAGTAAGTAACTTTTCATTGATGTTTTTCTTCTCCTTCTTTTTGAGCAGATTTAAGAGATTTAGCGAAGAAAAGGGTGCTTTGGGAGCCTGGCTTTGGATGCAGATGACTAGGGTTGAAGCTATTGTCATAATTTTTTTATATCATCTAGTGTCTTTCTCCTTAGTACCTTTGTGTAGTTACGAAACGAAAATCTGGAATTCAAAAATATGTGCGGTTTGCATAATTTTGAGGGCATAAAGGGGTAGCATAATTTTGGCGCCAAGAAATCGCGCTTTTGTCGATCAACTCACTGAAGCATCGCTTGTTGTTTACGACTGACCTTTAGTTAGGGCTATTCGTCTTCTCTCTAACCTGTGTTTTCCATAACATTGGTGACTGAAAAGACGTTTGATTCATACCGCAAATAAATATTAAACCAAAATTTTGCGACAACTGCACAAGTGTAGCATGATAGCATCACATATCTAGGAAAGAAATGACTTATGTTTCACTGCTGTAGAGTTACGCTCTTATATAAACGTGTGGTTTTCTTACACAACGCTTTTTATTCACAAGAGTCAAATCAGACACTGCCAAGTGGCATAAAGAGTTTTGATGATGTTCTGATGTTGGTTGCGTCGCATTGATACACATTTGACTTACTAGTACATAGGTTTGGGTTTGAAGGACGGGAGGAAAACATAATTTTGAAAAACAAAAAATCATGTCCTTGGAATTCGCAAGGTTGTGTAAAGCTGACTTGTTGACATGATAAGGACATCCGGTGTACCGATATACAAAACAACCAGCGTGCTTAAAAACAAGTTACACTCTGACTTCTCAGAAGACCTCCGTAAGGCTAAAAACACTAAAAACACTCCGAAAACAAATGGCATATTTAAAATTAGTTCACAAACAAAAACATTCCTGTACCAGCTGGTGTGAGGTATGTTAAGTTTGTTTTCCCCTGTGTGGTAACAGATAAGGGACGGTGGACGTCAGCAAAAACACCGGTCACTGAGGGACCGGGAGCCTGGCCTGAGTTGTGCTGACGGTCAGCTCAACATGGGGGTCCTGATAACACATCACAGACAAACAATAACAATAACCAGGTCACTCTGGGTGGTGTCCAGATGACAGCTTCTGATCTCCAAGCAGATGTAGGGGAGGGTTTCGAGGCTTTTGTAGCCCCTGTCTTGTGGTCAAGAAGCAGAAAAATATGCGGGAAAATAGAAGATCTTTTTCTCTAATTGTTCGGAGGATTATGCTCCTTTTTACTCTAATATGTGACAATATGGTCTGGTTTTTAAGCGTGTCTGCACCTGTATGATAATCCCTAGTGTGAAATAACGCATTAGAAATATACTACTCTATTTGCTTGTGCCCACGTACCTTTATAAATGTTTTGGGTTACACTTTCTCCCTCCATTTTGTCCTCCCTTCTTTCCCCGCTCTTTCTCTCCTTGTGCCTCTCTTTATTTCTCTCCCTCCTCTATATCCGTTCTTTTCCTCCCTCCTCCCCTTCTGTCTTTCTCCGTGTGTTTATTTCTCCTTTCTCTCTACTCTCTCTTCTTCGCCCCCCCCCCTCTGTCTGTCGATCCGTCTCTTCTTCCTCCCTCTTCCTCCTTCTCTATGGCCGCAGATTCTTCGCCTAGGTACCATCCTGGTTAGTTTACGTCCGCTCCAACAGTCGCTCCACCTAGCGACTAACCAGGATGGTACTACCTAGGCTAGGAGATTCTTTTCGAATGTAGAAAAACATGTACAACATAACGTTGTCTCTCTAGTATGTCTACTTGTCCTGTATCTGTATCTGTATAGTCGGTATAACCGCCTTTCGGCGTAACACACCAGCTTCGCAGGCACGCGGCGCGGCGGCAGCTGGCTACATTACGCCGATCGACTTGTTACCCCTAGCCCTTGAACATCTATTAAACTCTAAACATTGTTTAAAGCTATCTAATGACAATGCCCCTACTGTACTTGGTGACAGCGAGTTCCACTAGCGATAGGTCTAGAAAAAAACACACCTAGTTACACACCTAGGCCCTGTCGCTGTTTCTCTCACACCGTCTTTCTCTTGTACAGAGACTTTGTGCCGCTGTGCTCCAACCCCGAGTATGACGTCACCTTCTCCCCGGCCACGGTCACGGTCAGTACCACGGTGTTCGATCTCTCCCTGACCACGGCCAAACTCCGTGCCAGACACAGGCTCATGAAGTACTTCCGAGGCGCTAATGATCAAGGTCAGACATCTTTGTGAAATATAAGTAACGTTTGTCTTGCTCACTGTTAGGTTAAATATTTCACACAAGGATGCATATGATTATATATCATGTCTTTACTTTCACAAGTCGGTGAATAAAACACCACCAAAAACACTGATCCATCCTTAATGTTTCATAGATGTAGTATGGAGATATAGGCCTTTTATTTAAACGAAAATAAAAATTGACTGTACTATGTATGTGCACGTGGATCACATGTGGAAGTAATATATATAGTCTGGTGGTCACCATACGGTAATAACAGACTGACTGACTACCTGTAGTTCCTCATCGAGTACGATGGACGAACATCACCTGTAGTATGTGGGTCATCCAAAGATAGACTTTCTTTAGAATGTGTGTTGCCAATGACTTAAGCCTTGCTGTTCGACTTTTGCCAGGCTCATTATGCAGGCTAGCTCCTCGCCTCGGCTCCGGGGCCAACATGTCCCTAGGGAAATTTTACAGAAGTCGTTACCCGGATTAGGCCTTGTACAGAGTCTAAATCAGGGCCAGGCCTGACAACAGTCTGGCATCCAGGCTACCAGCAGTACGGCCCTGCTCAGGGTCTAACTAAGCGACTAGCCTTCAAGTAGTACTAGCCCTGACAACAGTCTGGCAACCAGGCTGTCAGTAGCACCGAGGGACTACCCTTAGTTCTAGCCCCGACAACAGTCTGACTACCAGACTACCCGTAGCATTGAGGGGCTAGCCCTGACAACAGTCTGACCTACAGGCTACAATATCAGGACTATTAAACACATGATGAACGTTTGTTTACCAACGTTTGTTTACCAGGCGTGGAGATGACCGCACCCTTCACGAACGTCATCCAGACGCGCGCTCCCACCGACCTGTTCCGGGAGGTGACCCTGGCCATCCCCCTGCCCGAGGACGTGTGGGACAACATCCCCAAACCTACGGACAGCAAGGTACGGCAATACTTTATTTCTCCGTAAAGGCGCGGTCACATTTCTCAACCCGGGCCCGGCCGGGCAGTCGTTTATAACGAAAATTATGACATAAGACTGCAAAACACACACACACACAAAAAAAAAAAAACGTTTGAGAAAACTAACCATGAGCACTATTTGTGTATACGCTTAATACAAATTGTTTATTTTTCGTTCACACAAACAACCCGGCCAGGCCGCGACTTGGAAATGTGACCGTGCCCTAAGGTAAGGGATAAAAAGGGGAGGGCGCTGTTTCCTAATCTCCTCCTTTTCTTTTTGATATGGCAACTGCTCTGTTGGCTAGTAGTGTACACTGATTTCTCCAGACAGTTCTGTCCTGGGCGATTGCTTTTCAGCTTCTGAGGTTTGCCTTAAGGTTGTCCCTGCATCTTTTGAGCGGTTTTCCCTGGGTCAGCCCGATAGGGAATAAATGTACAATAAAGACCAATAAAGTGCCTATAGAATCTATCTTTTTTTTGTCGTCTGAAATCTTCCCTGTTACATTGAATGAGGCTCGGTATCTGTGAACATTGGTCGATTCCTATCGTTAAAAACCCAGAAATCGACACAGCCAGAAACGCCCAATAAAGCTCACAGGCTCATCGGATGAGCTATTTTTCTGCTCTATAGCTGACGCCAGTTTTAGCAAGGATGAATTGTTTGTAATCTGTACCTTATACCATAGGTGAGGATTGACAAGGTACCCAGGAACATAGCATACGTCCGGAATGTGCGGAACAAGGCCGCCCTGGGCTTCTCTGTCGAGAGGGAGGCAAAGAAACTCTTCGGCATCTTGAAGAAGAACGGGGAGCCATACTGGGGTGACGATGACTACTACTACATCATACAGAGTAAATCGTAAGGATGGCCATTCTTACAAGTTGAGACTCACCTAGTACCTAGTTCTGTTATAGGATATAAACACAACAACAGCCTCTAATGATAATAATATATGAATGTGTAAAATGTTAGATCAATCGTATGTCTTCTAATGTATTGAAATGATAGAAGATGTTTTCTGGGCATATGACGTTTCTTGGTGCTGATGATTTTGCTGATGTTCCGTTCAAGTATGTACTCCTACGTTCATAATAATAGCAATATGTGTATATACATTTACGTTTCATCTTTTAATGATACTAAGATCTTGTACCAATTTATATCTAGAGATATATGTTCTCTCGTATGTAAGGCTCTCTCGTAAGAGAACCGCCTCCTCCCACCTGGTCCCGCCCTAGAGGGAGCCGAGGCGCACCTGGACGGGCCTGCTGTCTGCCGACCTCCAGGCTGCAGGACTGGACATCACCTCCGCCTGGGTGGCAGCCAGAGACAGGCAGTCCTTGAGGGCCGTATGCAGAGGCGCTATGGAGTTCAGTGATTGAGTGAGATATATGTAATGAAATCTTCTCCATTTTCCCTTTTTTTGTTCGCAGGCCTGAGAACGGGAGAGTCATCAACCAGGTGGCCATTTTCTCGATCAACGACCGAGCCTCTCACGTGTACATCCGGGCGAAGGGGTTAAAGGCACACGTACAGAACCAGTTACCCGTCTGCCTCAGAAAGGGGAATCCGGAGGCTTGGGACTTGTTGGGAGAAGCGCCCAAGGATGTCGACGCTGACATCGATCTGACAAGAGTCGAGGCGGGGGAAAACTACTGTAACGGTATGAAAAAATTGTATTGAAGAAACAAAATGTCTTTCCTTGCAATGGCATACACAGCACCGGGGACAGCGAACACACAGTCAGCAACAGGGACAGGGAAACACAGTCCGCAACAATGACAGGAAAACACAGTCAGTACCAGGGACATGGAAACACAATAAGCACTAGGGGCAGGGAAACACAGTCAGCACTAGGGGCAGGGAAACACAGTCAGCACTAGGGACAGGGAAACACAGTCAGCACCAGGGACAGGGAAACATAGTCAGCACCAGGGACAGGGAAACACAGTCAGCACCAGGGACAGGGAAACACAATCAGCACCAAGGACAGGGAAACACAGTCAGAACCAGGGACAGGAAACAGTCAATACTAGGGACAGGGAAACACAGTCAGCACTAGGGGCAGGGAAACACAGTCAGCACCAGGGACAAGGAAACAGAGTCAGCACCAGGGACAGGGAAACACAATTAGCACCAGGGACAGGGAAACACAATCAGCACCAAGGACAGGGAAACACAGTCAGAACCAGGGACAGGAAACAGTCAATACTAGGGACAGGGAAACACAGTCAATACTAGGGACAGGGAAACACAGTCAGCACCAGGGACAAGGAAACAGAGTCAGCACCAGGGACAGGGAAACACAATTAGCATAGGGGCAAAGACACATCGCTGCATAATAAAACAGAATTTACGACGCTAACGTGGATATTGTCAGTGCGCGACTTGAAGCCCGTCCTAAGTGCCTCAGCCCGTGGTGCGCGATCCACTTTATGTTCTGTGATGAGGCAAAGTTTTTATTTCCATTCGTTTTTTATTTGTGTAGATCCAGATTGTCCTGAATCCAAGGTCCTGCAGACGTATGACACTCCGCTAGAGAAGCGGGAGTACACCGGGACCGCGTCAATGGTGTTCGCCGCCGCGCCGTCATGCCACCTGCACGCCGCGTACGGCATGGCCCAGCGCGCCATCTACGATAAACTTAACGGTGACTTGATCATACTTGTTAGTTGTAGATTACCTATTCCTTATTCATATTGATAAACCTTGCATGGTTCGTTATAGCACTATTTGAATAGGATTAGAGGACCAGCCTGAGTTCGTGTCTATGAAAAAAGAGACCCTGTAACTTGTGTAATTTGGTATGCACAGCTTACTTTACCCACTGTGTGCAGCGTGCAAAGCATAGATGTTGATAGAACGTATCATAGTCTCCCTATTCCGTACTTATAGCTAATTAGAACGTACTGCGTTTAGCCCCATATGCAATAAACTTGACCTTGACTTTCTGCAGCTGCCGGCCTGATGGAAGGAAGGCCATTCCGAATGTTCGGGCCGGTCATGGGGCAGATATATCAGAGGAAGGCTGGGGAGGACGAGTGCAACAAAGTTTTCGTGCAATCAATTGACGTCCCGGAAGAAGTGCTTGCATCAGAAAAGGTTTGGCTCTGCACAATCTAAACATACGCACATACACACATACACTCTGTGTGTGTCTGTGTGTGTGTGTGCGTGTGTCTTTATGTGTGTGTGTGTGTGTGTGTGTGTGTGTGTCTGTGTGTGTGTGTGTGTGTGAGTGTGTGTGCATGCGTGTGTGTGTGTGTGTGTGTGTGTGCGCGCGCGCGTGCGTGCGTGCGTGTGTGTGTGCGTGCGTGCGTGCGTGTGTTTGCGTGCGTGCGTGTGTAACACGGTAAAACGGTATTTTTAAGAAATGACTACAACTTGTTGTTTTTATTCTATGCATTCTAGCTTCCCGATTTTGTTTTCGGACAAGAACCATACGACCAAGACGTCGTTATGGACGTAAGTAGTCTGTTGGATCTATAGCCTCTACCAGGCTTCGGGAGACGGCTGGAAACAGTAGAAATCGGTCAAATAGAGAAATAACATGCCGAGGGAGTTGTGTGCGGCAATATGTACTCTCTCGGCATGTTATCTCTCTATTTAACCGATTTCTACTCTTTTCCGCCGCCTCCAGAAGCCTGGTAGAGGCTCTGTTGAATAAGCCTATTTGATGCCTGGCTCAATTCCGTTTAATCACCGACATATACTTGTATTTTCACCGCTGTAAACAGTTAAAAGGAGCAGTTGGGTCCGATATTGTTTTTCCAATAGATTATCTATCAATTAATATATAATCAGAAGATCATAATCATCCCCTTATCATCATTTTAACGAGTAATAATGACAATGTAATATGTTATGTCATAGACGAAGTGGTCTCTCACTGCCTGAAAAGAAGTCAAACCCAACAAAATTAGTATGCTGTAGAATGTAGTATCACGTAGACTCTATTAATATAATATCATTGTATCTTATTTGCATACATGTTGTTTGTACTTGCAATTACCCCTAGGGCATGTACATATTTGCGATAAACTTTCTTTCTTTGCTTCTATAATTCGTTGATTAGCTGAAAGTGTACTTGAAATTACTTATCATCATTTTAACGAGTAACAAGAATAATAATATGTCATATAATATGTCATATTATGTACTTGCAATTACTCCTCGGGCATGTACATATTTGCAATGAACTTTCTTTCTTTGCTTCTACAATTCGATGATTAGCTGAAGGTGCACCGGCGGGACTACCCCGGGCCGTTCACGGCTTACGTGCGGCACTTCGGCGGGTACGCTGACGAGGAGGAGATCTACCGCCAGGGCAAGGCTCTGATGGCGGACCTGGACAGCCGTGGGATCTGTTACATCCCCAACATGCTGGAATTTGTCGAGTACAACCGGGGGTCCCGACAGTTCGATCGCCACAATGAGGTACATGTACAAGCCAGCCTACATAGTGGGGTCGTGTGGCGCAGCGGTAGCGAGTTCGGCTCGGGGTCGAACCCTACCTTGTCACCAATCTTGTGCCCTTGGGAAAGGCACTTAACACGACTTTCCACACTCCACTCATGTGAAAATGAGTATGCCAGAATCATTATCATGATCGTGGGCATCAAAACCAAAACAAACTAAAAACATAGCTTGACGGCTGTCAGAAAACAGGTAATTAAGTCAGAATAGTGTAGACATTTAGAAAACGACACTTAATAAGGCAGAAGACTGAATACTGCTGTAGAGTCTAGTACATGCATCGACATCTATCTAAATCTGTGTATCTACACCCATCTATCTATCTATTTAATTATATATCTATCTAGCTAGCTAGCTAGCTGTCTATATCTAGCTATACAGCTATTAGATTATCTATCTTACTACCTAACCATATCTAGCTAGTTAGCTATCCATAGATTCATTTATGCACAATCTAAACATGTGTAATGTTTATGGTTCCTTTTTTAGGTACTCTACTACGCTTTTCCGGGAGTGACGTGTGAGCCTGAAAAGCCAGACTGGTTCATCCCGGTGCACCTTGACTCTCCGCCCAAAGGGTGAGACGTTCGGTATCTACTTGTGGCTAGCCTGGTTACCGGGCCTATTTTAGCTCCCGAGTCTTTATGCGGAAATGATAACGACAGGGGAGCTATAATAGGTCTGGTAACCAGGCTACTTGTGACTTGTTTGTAGAAGGTGAAGTTGTCGGTGATCTACTGAATATGCCTGATGTAAAAATACGGGAGAAAAGGAATTCTTGAATAAACGGGATACAAGAGCCGGACGTTCTGCTGCAGTACCAAGGGAAGTCGCTGGGAGGCCTTATATCTATCAATTTCTTTGATAGGTCAAGACCTAACCGCATACCAAATGTCGTATTAATCCATCCATAGCTTCCTGTGTTATGCTGTTCAAACGCAATCAACGTTACGCCACTAGAACTTTGTTTACAAACCTACGAATGCTGGAAAGCAGACTTAAGTGTTACGATTCCCATTTACATTGTCATGGCTATATTGAAAATCAATGCCGCTATCTTTTTCTTCTTCTTTTCATCTAGTGATGAAACTAACGCCCTTGATCTGCTGCTTCCTTCCCTGGACGATCTGTGCCGGAACAACGACTGTGTGAAGAGACAAACGGTCAGAAGGTTCGAGAACTTCTTGGAGGAAAAAATACAGACGCGTATGTGACTTATTTTTTTTATTTACCTAATAGTATGAAGACCTCGTTTCACAATGTTCGTAGCATGTCTTTACATCGTACTCTTTCAAGACTTGTATAGAATTTTCCTTTGTCCATTCTTAAAATATTAAGCTTTTTAAGCTGAATGTGGCAACTGTATCCAATCTATTTTTAATAATAGCTGATTGTACGAAGAACCGGCGATAACTGCGAATAACATGTTGACATTGGGATCTGTCATCGTTGAATTAGTTGCCCCACTTTAACAGGTATGGAGTCTAACACCCCGCTGCCACTCATGTTCAAGTATCATATCTGTGTTGTTTCCAGCTGGTAGTTCTGTCTGTGCCAAGCAGAAGTTCTGCACCAGTGTCCGCGAAGCGTCGAAGCAAGCCATCTCCAAGCTTCTGTCCTACTTCAACGGTTACAACAAGGAGCAACAAAGGATTGACATGCCAAGGCCACTATTTCACTATGTGAGTGATAGAGTTTTTGTTTAAAAAATAAAATAAAAATACATCACAGTTTCGTTCCTGCGTATGCACACTCACATGGGCGCACATGCGCACGCACACAAAATCACACACAGGTTAGATTTTTGTATATTTAATAGACATCTGTATTTTTATCAGTATAGCCGGCATTACCGCCTTTCGGCTCAACACACCAGCTTCTCTGGCACGCGGCGCGGCGGCAGCTGGCTATATCGCACCGAACGACAATTTTCGTTAACACTAAACCATATTCCTTTGCCTCGCCTGTATTTTCCAGATGAACTTGACGAACATTGCGAAGGAAGGGTGCAACAAAGAGATGCTGACGTGCAGCTTTGTTCCCAAGCGTATCGCAGCGGTCCCTCCAGAACCGGTGGACAAAAATGTACGTAACGCACGAACCCTTACAGTAATATAGTTTTAGATGTGTGATTGGTCCGTTGTAGGAAAGAAGCAAGCTCTGTCACTCTCCATACGCGTGTTGCATTTATTTAAAACTAATTGTTTGTCATGTGAACCTACAATTTCTATGAGTGTTAACAGGACTGGTTTAATGTCCGGGGCACCCTGAAATATTATATTCTTGGAACGTCTGTCCTGGGCGTTTCAGCCTTTTCTGTCAATGACTACTTGATGTTTGGTAGACAAAAGTGTAAAGTGGTAGTGACTTTCAACACTCTGCTGACTACTTATCCTCGTCTTGGACAGATTCTACTGATCGCGTCCACCGAAGTAAACGGTTACACCATGCCTTTCGGCGACCTGACCGACAAGGAGATCATGCAGACCATGATACATTTCAACAAATCACTGGCTGGTCTGGAGAAGTTTGGCATTGCGTACGATAAGGTGAGTGTTGTAGTATTCCACCCTAATCCTAGCCTTGTTTCCAAACCTATTATAGCTCCCGAGTCCCACATCCCTTCCGTATGTAGAGGTTTGAGGAGAGGATGTAGGGCTCGGGAGCTATAATAGGTTTGGTAACCAGGCTACCGTTATACTTAAGGCATATGTAGAGCTGTGTACCGATACTCAGTACCGATACTGTACCGGAAAAATTGATTAGGTACAGGTCCAAAATACCTAATCCCTCCGTACCGGTACTGTACCTAAACAATTTCACACCAATTTTATGCCTATTTGTGACCTTAAATGTGGAAATAGCTGGTCGCCAATGGGTTCCAATGTAAGGACAGTGTGTTCATGAAAACAATAATACCTTACTTTTGCCTATATTTTATCTGAGCATTCTCCATAAACCAAAATTAAACCTTAACTATCAAGTGTATACATGTTTTTGTTGCTATTGAAAGAGTTCAGAAGAGCATGTAAATTGGTCGAATTTTTTAGGTACAGGTTCAGGTCCGGACCTGTACCTAAACCTGTGTACCTGTACCTGTACCTGTACCTAAAATTTGTTTAGGTACACAGCTCTAGGCATATGCAATGTCCTTATGCGTTTTACATGTTCCCAAAGATCTGTATCTGTATCTGAATGGCCGGTATAACGGCCCTTCGGCGTAACACACCAGCTTCGCAGACACGCGGCAGATATCATAAATATTATAGTCAGATAGGATCTTGCTTCATTTATATACTAGTACTAGGTTGGTGTAAAAGTTGCTCTTGCATGCAAGAGCAGGCTTTTAGGTAGAATTTTTTTGGTGGGTGTCCATATTTTTTATTGTATGCTATCCACAGTGAAGACGCACGGTGAGCAAGCTTTTTAGGGGGGCTTTTTTAAAATTCACAATGCTCTCAAACACTACTTTCTGCATTTTGAGGTGCAAATTTGAGTTTTTTTCCTCCAGTAAACCATCATTTTTGTATTTATAGTAAGGCTGAAGGGAGGTATGTGTGCATGGCAGGGATTGGGAGTGGAAAAATAGGGTGTCTTTAGGGTGTCCTACCAAAAAGTAGGGCGTCCAATTTCTTATTATTTTCAGTACAGGGCGTCCAAAAGACACCCTGGACACCCCCCAGCTAAAAGCCTGTGCAAGAGTCATCGTCTTAGTCAGAAATATGACAATTGAAGAAAGCATTTTTCTTCATCCCCACAGCAAACGTTTGGAATTATGGAGTATTTTGCAGCGGATGAAGAGCTCCATCACAACGCACTGTTTGTTCGCAAGCTGGAAAAAGGCATGGTTTCCGAAGAGGTAACAGTAAAATCTGAATTTAAATATTGTTAAATTAATCCTTTGTCTGTTAGCTTTATGCTGTCATACCATGTATTTGCTTGGATAAGCTACAAACACTTTGGGCATGTCTAGTTTTAAAAAAACTCTTTTGAAATAAAACGAGTTGTCGGAGACTGCGATCGGGATCTCTGTTGGTAATTCTATCAGCTCGGAGTCTCTATCCTGAATTGTGTATTTAAAGAGCTTTTGCTCGCTTTGTTTGAAGAACTTAACTACGATGCCATGCTATGTCGATACAGGACGTCGTCCCCGAGTCTACAGACGCTGAAGAGCGACCCCGACTGCACAGCCTGGTGAAGGACCATGGCGACAACGTCCTGGAAATCCGCATGAACCCCAGTGAGTGAGCTGTGTCTAGCCAAACCTAGAAACCCATGATATACAAGTAAAGTAACTATGTTAGTAACTGCCTGGAAATGTATCAAATGCATATGCCACGTTTACAACTTGAACATGGCACAGGGAAGTGCCGTGACAAAGTCAGCCGGTAGGAGGCAAAAGACACCATCTGAATTTCAAGTTTTGACATGTGCATGTACTTGAAATGGTTGGTTTATTGAAATATCTTGCAACTTCATCTGTGTTGGTAGAAGTCATTATGAATCAAGTTTAAATTGTAATTTCCGACGCAAAAAATCGGACTTACACAAATTTTCGACTTTCGACTCCAGCCTTTGTCAGGTCCATCTTTTTGTCTTGGAAATTACAGTTTAAACTTGATTCTTAAGATCAGTTTTTATCAATCATGAATTTCCAACACAATGACGACAACTCGGTGAATACAGTACCCTGCTTATGGTACAAAACTGAACCACATGTTTACTCTCTCTTATTTCTCAGAGATGTATGCCTGTGTCGACACCGAATCATGCAACGCTTTCTTCACTCGCAAGACTATGATTGCTCTGCACGACTATTTTGCCGGCAACAATGATGGAAATGTGGATCTTGGAAGTCTGTCGCCTCTGTTTTACCATACGGTTAGTGTGGTCGCTTTTCACTCATCAAACTCTATGGACATGTTCTTTTTGCTTTTCGGACTTCTTTATCAAACAGGTGCAGGAGACTACTATAGTGTGCTACGCTGTGTTGTCTTGTATTCGTGTTCATTGTAACGTTTTCAAAATCATTGTGACGTTTTCAAAATCATATCCAGTTGCTTGAGTAACTGCTTTTTGGCATTGTAACGTTGACTGTCTATGTATGGATATACATATTTTTGTTGTAAAATTATTCCCCAGGGTGAACCCAAAGTCGAAGGCTGCCCATACGGATTGTCAAGCTGCGCGGCCATCCCGGAGGAGTTCTATGAGAACACACCAAAGCCTAGCGACGAGCGGGTTGGTATCTGATTCACTGATTTAACTCGTGGATGGAAGTAACCTTAGTGTCGGTCTTTTAAGCTTTCATCCGTTCCCCACGATCCGCTACTGGCCAGACGAAAGCTAAAAAGGCTGACACTCATTCTAGGATGGAAGGACATGTTTATTCCTGCCAATATCCAAAACTAACCATCAGCAGTAAAATGTGTATACAGCAATGTATTTTAACTAGCATGAGTATGAATACTAGACACGTTTTCCCGACGTTCTCCATATATTGTAATCAAATATGAACAACGCAACATTATCTGTGTATATATGTATTTTTGTTTTGCCAAAGTACTAGACTAGATGGCCCCACATGTCAACCGCAACAGACAGTAGGGTTAGGTCTTAACACAGATTCGTAGTATCACGTAGCAAGGATTTAGCTATTTCTTAGGCTGTGCTTACTAACACTCGTTGGGCATAACATACTCCTATCAACATGTGCATTTCTGTATGTATTTGGAATACAGGTGACGATCTTCGACGCTACCAAACTTACCGGAGTCGGTTACGCTACTACTTTATATGAGGCACCAGAGGGAGATGAGGGGTGGACCGCCGTGTTCGAGAAACTGGCAGCGAAGCTCGACGAAAAAGATCTGCTCTTTAATAGGGTGGGTTATATACATAGGGAGTTAGGGACATATATTAAAGACTGTATAGATATTAGAAATTCCAACAATGAGTTCATACCTTTCCCATACTAGCGACCCACTCTTGTGTTAGTTAGGTTAGTCTTATGAAAGTGTAGTTTTGTACTAGTAGATGACATACTTTGTACCACAATTGTTGTGCAATAATTTTATTATCAAATACGTATCTATTTGTATTGGATAATTTCATGAGCCCAAATGAGGCACTAACTCTACAATCGTTGTTAATATTGATGGTAACGTCTTATTTTCCTTGCTACAGGAGTACGGTTTCTTCTTCAGGGAGGCTCATCCATTCGACACAAGTAATGAACCAGCGTACGTGGCCTACTGGAAACAGGTAAGACTGGAACTCATTAGATAAAGCAAAGACTATTGCTTCATTGATTTGATAGTGATAAAAGATCTTAACGTAGAGACACGTTTTTCTATACACGATCATCAAACTATCATAAGCCTGTGTACCGTCAAGGAGCTATAAGCTCCTTAGTACGCGTACCGTTGAATATTAGACAAACCATGCAAGGTTTACTGACTTTCGTTGTAGGGCAATGTGGTCAACGAACTTCAAACACAGGGATATATGTTTGACGTGTGTGTGTTTGTGTATTTGTTTGTTTGTTGTTTAGTCCGCGGAGTCTGAGGGTGAAGGTGAAAGTGAAATGTCAGCCGAAGAAGACAAAGAGATGCCGACGGAAGGTCCTGCCGCTGAGAAGAGTGAAGACGGCGAGAAAGCTGAGATGCCCACAGAACTGTCAGCTGTACGTAACGCTTCAGCCATCTTTGTCAACCGATAACTTTCATGGGCAGCAGTCTAAAACTGTTTCTGTTGGCTATATCTAATTACATAACGCATATACTTAAATCCACATCGTGTACCCAAGCCACTGCTTTTTATGTACTGAATCAGTTCGAAATACTTATTATTCTCAGTGCCCTAAGCGAAAGCCCAGGTTGCCCATCAATATTTCTGGCAGGCAGCCCCAGTTACAATGCTATAAAGTCAACCATTAGCTATTCTACTTAGCGGCCGGACAACAAAGAATTCAAAGTAATAAACACACAAGTCTCAAATAAAACTACACCTGATTCATTTATTTACAAATGTAAAAAAGTACTCAAGTACAGTATTAAAACTTTTAAAATGTTTTAAAAGGTCTAGCACAGAAAACATTACTTGAGCGGCGAGAGTGGGTATTTCTAACACTGGTTCATTTCTATTCCTTGCTCATACTTGGAACAATTGTCAGTTCTTGTAATTGTCATAAGTAATAAAATCGATTCATGTCTTGTATGCGTATGTTTTTTGCGCATTAATTGTAATGAATTAACGAAGGGACGTCCCATTTCATATTTCCCCTCAGGTTTCAAAGACTGCAATGCCAGACAAAGAGGAGGGCGCCGCCGTCCCAGCTACCGAGGCACCCGCGGGCAGTTCTGCCGAGACCGAGGAGAGATAAACACAGAGAAGACGGGTGGGACCGTCGAGAACTGGGTACACCAACGGAAACGTTCCCCATCGCCTTTAGCCTCAACCAGGCTTCGGGAAGCGGCTGGAAAGAGTGGAAATTGGCTAAATAGGCAGATGATATGCCAGAGGGTTCGCGCTGAGAGAACAGTTTGCCGCGAATTTCCAGCCGCCTCCCGAAGCCTGGTAGAGGCTAATCACCCTAGTAGCATTAGTAACTGTTAAAATGATAATGTAATTTTCCTTCTATTCTTTGTACTTCAAGCATTTGTAATACTTGTAATAGTTAAAAGCGATTTTTAAAAATTTGTTTTGATCAGCTGGTAATTGATGTTAGTCAATATTTGATAAGCTTTAGAAAAATCATATCATCCTATCATAAAACTAGACTTGCATTGTGAGATTCAATGATGCTGCTCAACTATAAATGGCAAAGACATAGCTTAGTACCATATATCATTGAATTCACCTTTCCATAGCTTTCATTTTTGCTAAATGATATGACGTTGCAATTGTTAAAAACAGATTATTATCTGGATATGTTCATTGTTATGCCTATGCTCCAATAAAACCGTCACCCACCACCAAATCCAAGGCGTGTCTTATTTTTCAACAAATCAAGAAGCACGGCGCAAACATGCCATATATGCATGTGTCATCACCTAAAATAAATTCTAGACACCGATTTGATTGATAATTTCCTTAAAAAAGAGCCGGTCCTCGGCATATTTCGGCGAGCAGGTGTAAATAAATCGACTTCACATTGATATTGAGGGATTCGTGTTCGCGTGGCTCACCCCGATATACGTGTATCAACATTCTCGTATGATTCTAAAAGAAGAATTCATTGTCCCAAATCACGTGGCCACTAACTACTACAGGTCCAATGTAGCTCAGGTCACGGTCGCGTTCGGGTTCGGTGATCTTCTTTTCTTTGTCAACTTTTGTTTTCTGCTCTCTGTGGAAATAAAAGTGTGTTTGTGTACAAGGTAAATAGTCAAGTTACGAAAAAAAAGAAACAGAAAAAAAAAGATTATTGTGATTCAATCAAAGACGATTAGTGATATCATCCAAAAGCGTACCTTCCCAAGTTCTCGGCGTCTTCCAGTGTATCCGGCAGAGGGATTCCGAACGTCTCCGGCAGACTGAAGACTCCGGCGCCGCCCAGAGTGCTGAGAACCCCGAACGTGAGCATGGGGAGGGGCGGCCACACGTCAGCCAGCAGGGACACGAACGGGGACAGGATGCCGCCCACACGGGACGACATGTTGGCCACGCCCACACCCATCGTCCTGAAGAAACAGAAATTAGCTCATTAGCTTCCTCCTTTTCAGGATTGCAAAAAGACGAAGTCTGTCTGTAACATTAGGACAGCAAAAACTTGGGAGGCTGGTCATACATGTATACGAGTTATCGCTGTTTTTGAGTCCTTGAATTCTACGGGCTCAACGTAGTGATGGAGCGAATGAGAGAGCGAGTGAGTAAATGATTCGTGCACAATACAACTTGATCCTACCTGACGACGGTGGGAAAAACCTCCGGGGTGTACACCGTCAGGGTGGTGAAGGCGACTCCGATGGAACACCGACCGACCAGGGAAAGGTACCGAATAACTTCCTGCATGGCTGCAACATATGCCATAATGTCTCGTCAATTTATATACACTAAGGAGAAATGCAAACGTTCAAGTGGATAGGAGGTGTCGGCAGATTTGTCTTGCTATGTCTCAAGTGTTTTACAAAGAGGAGGAAAATAAAGACAGCCACCGGCAAGTACAAGCATTTCAGAGCCGAATAACATAGCAGCAGAAGGATATATGCGTCTGCTAGGCTCCTTTCACACACGACAGGGTTGCGAGAGCGAAGTGGCGACAGAATTAGGAAATAGCAGTCGTGGATGTGTCATGTTGGACAAAATGGGTTGTCGTCGATTTCTGTCGATGGTCAGTTCTGTCATATACGTCGTATCATGGATGTCCTTGGTCGTACGATTTTGTGTGTGCTAGAACATTCAACTGTGACTATGTGCCCACCTGTTGGAGTTGCTGCCACTGCCAGACAGGCGGCTCCTGACAGGAACAGATATCCACCAACCACAGGCCTCCTTCCCCACTTCTCCATGGCAACCAAACCCACAAGAGACAGCCCGATCTCCAACAGTGCGCCCAGGACGAAGTTCAGGTAAGGGTCACCAGCCAGGTCCGCAGAACCGATGATCAAGGCATAGTACACGGCCACTGTGGCAAACCTACCAAACGGACAAGCAAGCAAGGCGTAAAAAAAATGAATTGTGTATCATTTTGTGTGCCATTCCTAGGTGTGTCATTCCTGGGAAAAGGACCAGTGACGTCGACACTGGACCGAATTCGTTTACCAGATACGTTTGGCCAAAGTGTTGACGTCACGCCTCAGGGAAGCCACGTGACGTCGACAAGTCTCAATGGGTCAGTCTACTGAGGAAGACCAGAGTGACTTGTCGAAAGCGCTGTGAGAGATTTTACTAATCTCCAAGCAGATTCTAGACTCCCCTTGGCCAACAGAATCTGCTTGGAGATTACATCATTAAAAGTTTAACCTCGGCAGAAAATATTGTTCATATAAAGCATTGAAAATCATTGTTGTGTCGTCTTTGCTTTTGAGCACACATTGTACCTATTTTATCAAAGAAAAGCGTAGACAAGAATGTACTTACCAGACTGAAGACATCGTTATTGTACTCATCCTCAGACGAGGACCCCGGAACAGGTCGATCAAACTGTACTTCTTGGATTTTTCCCCTCCTTGTCCTTCGGTATTGTCAGTTTATCGTAGACATCATCTGGAATGGTGACCTTGTTGACCTTGGCAGCCTTCTGAATGCTTATTCTGGCTTCTTCGGTCCGGTTGTTACTCAGGAGCCATCGCGGGGACTCAGGGAGAAGCCTACAAATGACAATTAATAAGAAGATTACGGAATCGTGGATTTGTAAAAACAGAATTTCTACTAAGCGATTCAAATATGCTGTACATTATACTATGCAACTTTACAGGCCAGATTCCAAGTCTGATATGATACCATACGCTATTGTAACAACGGTACCAAATGAACCAATGAGGATAAACGTACCACCAGTACGAGAGCAGCGGCGCTGATAGAAGTGCCAGGGCCAGCTGAAGGCTCCACCAATCCCGCAGAAAGTACGCAAGGCCTCCGAGAACAACTGTACCCACGGCCCAGCTTAGTGAGATCGTCATTCCCACCGCATTGCGCTTGGACGAGCCGATAACTTCTATGGCTGGACACAAAAAATTGGGAACACGTCAATCATCAATGAACGCAGATTGTAAAAAATATTCAAATGCCAAGTGTTTAATTTTTGTGCCTTAATGAATGGAGTGAGATGAGAATCAAAGTTGGTCTACCGAGGGTTAAGCCGACGTAGAAGAGACCGTTGGCAGCACCGCCGGCAAGCAATCGGAGAACAACGAAGGCGATGAAATCTTTGGTGAAGGCAGCAGCAAGTCCAGAACTCAGCTGCAGCAGGATGCAGGCTAGAACCGTTGGACGGCGCCCAAATCTGACAAAACATAAATATGTATTGGGATTACTTTTATTGGCTGTACAGGTAAAATGTTTCAACGAGGTAGAGTATACGGTGGACAATGAGGAACAGAGTCGACACGTGTGTGGTGTATGGTGGAATAGTCCTTACCTTAGACCTTATATCTTCCTGTGCCTGATGGCACATCGGGCAGCGAGCTTCCACTTCTTGGAATAGTGCTGTCTTGATTATCGTGGAAAGACACAGGAATGTATTTGTATCCTAGACGTATCCAGCCTTGTATCCTTCAAAGAAAGGAAACATTTGTACCTGTCCGATGTCGTTCCTGAGATGAGTCCCCCAGCGCTCACCCCCACCATGAAGATGGACTGTCCCAGTTCCTTTAACCAGTGGCGCCCACACACAAGGTCGTACTTGGGGAAGAATGTAAACATACCTTGAATCATTGTTTGTTAAAAACATTTTAGCGCAAAACAGGGCATTTTGTCCCCACGAGCCTGCATTCACGATGAATGTAAGAACGGAACTGTTTTGTTGTGTCATTATATCGTCCTGACATTTCTACCGTTTGACTTATTGTAAAGAAAGTTAATGACTGCATGATATAACATACATGTACCAAACCAATATGCAGGATACTAGTACATGTTCACACTACGATGCAACTTATGTTAGAAATCTTGGTGTAGATTGGATATTGTCCTTCAATATGAACTAGCCAGCATTTGGTCAGGAGTACTGTGCTACAGAATACATGAACTCGTCATCATTTAGTCAGGGGTTATGTCAGATGTTCCACATCTATTTGCGTAATGGCGACAAAGCTAGCCTAGTGCGTTTTCATTTACAACACGTACCTCGTCACCTCAGTTATACACGGGGTAACAGTGTACTTACCTCTGTGACAACAGTGCTGTGATATATGCTCTGGTCGTACTCCCAGCCGTGGTTACACGATGTTACTATTTGCTTATCCCCTGTTGCTGTTCCACCAGTTCCGTTGTACATCAAACACGAGCTGAACCTCCACGTACCGTCCACGTTTTCCATGGGAACGCTGAAGTTGAGTCTCCCGGAAGGGTGGTCATACATGCCCGATGAGTCGTTGTGGTAAAGCCGGCAGTGGTGCTCGGGAGTGGCCGCTAAGAAGGCCTGGGCGAACATGGTCGCGCCGACAGACGGACCGACCAGGATGATGAGCACAGCTGCCAGTTTCTGGTACCTGCCGAACTCACCGAGATACTGCCGCAGTACATCTTCGTACTCCATGATGATCAAGTAGGAATGGAGGCAGGAGAGCCCTTCAAACCGCGTCTATCCTGTGGTAGGGGCACAGTTACTATGTTCTATTACTAAGTACACAGCTGGGGGTGAAGAGAAATGATACCTGCGTCGCGTCGGTGAAGGTCAGGCACTCAAGTAAACAAGACAACTCAAACATCGGGGTTAACTCACTCGAAATAACTTTGTCTTAGCTTGTCTGTTTACTATGGACTGTCTAAAATATGTCTTCACCTCATATCAACTCATAGTTTGGGGATAATTACTGGTTCAACCAGTTCATACCGACGACGCGTCGACTAGAATCCGAACTTCAGAGGTGTTTCTATGAATGGATGTGGCAAGTCTTTATGTACATTTTGTATTCAACATCCAAATCACTTAAAACACTCAAGTCAAGGTAAAGTCAGGTCAAGGAGAGTTTTCAAAGTTACGGCCAAGGGTGAGTACGGGGGGGGGGCATGTTCTGCATTCTTCCCGTGCGCCCTTGCGTGGGAGTGACGCGTCTGTTACAAACCTCAGTTTTAATCCTAGCCAAAACAATGAGTTGAAATGTCAAGGTTTCACCTCTGACATAGAGGTGGCTATGAATACACGTAAACACCTCTAATTGCCTATGAGTGAATTGAACCAGACAGATGAAATTCTTGTCTTTTTTGGTTTAACTATAGCTGAAGACGACCGTAACAAAGTCCCTGTACTTTCGTTACGTCAATAAAGTGCTCTCATTGATGGAGATAACACAATACTGTGACATGAACAAGCAGGTACTGTATGCGACTGAGATGACCTGGGTGTGTATTGTTCACGACATGTACGGCTTGTGCATTCTCTCCTAGCACCCCATATTGGAGGTTACACCCGGTCTTTGACATCTGACAGTGATCAGGTAGACACGCAAGGTAACTGCCATTTGATGTGAAGCGATCCTGCATCTAGCCCATGGTCTCAGAGATTGCCGTCAGTTTTTCACAAAGGTGGGATGCTTTAAAGTACAACTTTAAAAACAAATCTTGAAGACATCTGTCTGCTGGGAAACATGGTTCACGCTGTTTCTGAGAAGGTTTTTTTACTATGGTAACGTGTGTTGAATTCTTTGATGTACACGTATGCTTTGGTTAGAACATGTTTTCAGTCGTTATTACTAATAGTGGCGGAAGCTTGAGCTCAGGGCTAAATGTTATTTCTGGTTTTTCAACACTTGTAACATGCACAATGTATTAGATGTGAAATGGGTCATATTACGTTATGACACTGTCAGTGTCCATGGAAAGGATTTGGGACAAACTGAGTCGATAAGATATTGTATCTCCGACATGATTAATCAGGTGTTGTGGCGGCAGGGATGATACCTGGGGGTATTGATTACGATCCCCTGGGCTTGTGAACTCTTGTCTGACACTCCTGTCCTTACATCTCAAGAATGATCGATCAGGTAGACGTACAGGATTTTTGTTTTGACTCAGACACTCAGGCGAAGCGACCTTAGGCCTAATCATTGGGGCGGGGTGACCCTGGGTCTAGAGAAGCACAGAATGTTCTTTGCGGTTGCCGTCCGTTTTTCCGAGGTTTTTAGCTTATGGAGATCTTAAACTGTCTATTGGGAACATATTTTACTAACTTTCTTATTAGTTTTTTTGAATGTATGTATGCTATGGTTAGAACAAGTTTGACATAGTTATCTTGTAGCGAAGGCTTGAGCTCAGAGCTTATGTTATTTATATATGCTTTTCCAACATTTACACTTCACTTGTGAAGAGATGGAGATTAAAGTGGTACGGAGACATAATGAGGTCAGGTGGACTGGCAAAAAATAACCCTTCCAGGAAGAGTAAAGAGAGCAAGGCGAGGAAGAAGGGAAGATGGGTTGATAAGATCCATGAGTGGACAAGGAAGAAACTTTGCGGCAGTTACAACTCTAACATGACCGAGAGGGATAGAGGCAGACAGTTAGACACTCCATCACACAGATCGAGTCTCACGACCTGACCTGGTTTAAGGGACCAAGGTACAAGGTACATTGCCCTCTTTGTTCCCTGTTCATTAGATGATGCAATGACACCATATAATGTCCTATTGTGTCTAAACTCTGTCTGACCCCTTTTCTGTCATCCCCAAATAATTTCTCTCCAGTTGTCAGATCGATAATTCGCAATTCTAGACTGACCACATGATTTTAAATCTTCTACAAATTTGACAATAATTTTTTTTTCCGCAACCACATTATATTACATTATTTTAGAGGTGTTTGTTATCATATAGAGGTAGGCGCCGTCTAGTCTGGTTTCGACTGCCTGATTGATGACTTGAAGCTGTACTGGCATCAGAACGTCAGGATAGCGACCTGCATCCGGGACCAGGCGGCGGACAAGGCGAGGCACGGTGGAACGGAACATCGATAACACAGGCTGATTTTGCGGGCCAATGACAATTTACGACGAGATAGAAATGCACATTTGCCACCAAGAACATTACGTTATTACTATCAAACAAATTTCACACTTTGACAAGATTAGAGTATTCCCTGTGCAGGAAAGACAATGCATGCCGACTTTGGTGGAGTTCAATGAACCCTTTTCAGTGAACTTGATTACAACGCCTCCAAGAGAGCGAATCATGACTATCATGGATTCTAACTAAATTTCATCGTAGCTCTCCCATCGACAACACTTCATCGTAGCTCTCCCATCGACAACACTTCATCATAACTCTTCAATCGACAGCACAACTATTTCTGTGCCTGTCTTTAATTTTGTGCGTACACATTGTCAGGTAAAACTGTGAACAGTAGTTCGGTCAATGTCTTCGTGGCCAAACTGGCTGTAGATTGGAAAATAACACCCGGATCGTTATGGCTACAACCTCTCATATTGAACTACCAATACTATCTTAACTACATGGACGGTAACCCTGGGCAGGGGTACCGATTGACCAGGATTCAGGTGAATATAAAACTACACCATGAAGTAAATTTAAAGTAACTTTCAAGCATATCGCGTTGTAGTTGAAAACCAGAGGAAACACTCAGAGAGAGAGAGAGAGAAAGCCTTGGTCACTAAGCGAGTAAGCGTAGTAAGTTGTTCAAGTCTTTCCAAACTTGCCAGCCATGGCAGCACATGCTTTCTACTGTACAACAAATATGTGTAATGGCTTTCTAATAGTGTGGGTAAACTTCCGAAGAGATCTAGAATTTGTATGGAAATATAGTCCCACCTGTGAAGCACAAATCGGGTCCAGATACTAGTAAATATGTCAGTGCTGATCCGCCTTGGAATTGCAGGTACACCTGCTTTCAATGATGTCTATCATAAACTTGTCTGTCCTGGTGAGCCTCAACGACATCCCTGGGTCAGACCAATGAGACGATGTCAACCTTTCACCTCTGACATGGGCGATAAATGCAACAACCTGCTTAGGAGTGAAGGAGACAGATGGAATCACTGTATTTTCTTTTGTTTCTATATAGTTGAAGAAGACCGTAACAAAGTCCATGTACTTTCGTTAAGTGCTCCCATTGATAGAGATGGCAATATTGCGACATGGACAAGCAGGTACTGTATGCGACAGAGATGACCTGGATGTGCATTGTTCACGACATGTACGGTTTGCATGAGCATTCATGGCCAGCTCCAGGTATTCGAGGTTACATCCGGTCATTGACATCAGATAGACGCCAGGTAACTGTCATTTGGTGTGAAGCGACCCTGCATCTAGTGTATGGTCTCAAAAATTGCCGTCAGCTTTTCGGAAAGGTGGCATTTTTTCATAGTAGAACTTAAATTCTTGAGGGCATCTGTCTGTTGGGAAACTTGATTCACGAAGTTTCCGACACTCCTGCAACTTAGGAAACATGTGTTGAATGCTGTCAAGTCTACATGTACATGTATGCTTTGGTTAGAACATACATGTATTTCCTATCGTTAGTTCTGCATTCTTCCCGTGCGCCCTTGCGTGTGAGTGACGCGTCTGTTACAAACCTCAGTTTTATCCTAGCCAAAACAATGAGTTGAAATGTCAAGGTTTCACCTCTGACATAGAGGTGGCTATGAATACACGTAAACACCTCTAATTGCTTATGAGTGAATTGAAGCAGACAGATGGAATTCTTGTCTTTTTTGGTTTAACTATAGCTGAAGACGACCGAAACAAAGTCCCTGTACTTTCGTTACGTCAATAAAGTGCTCTCATTGATAGAGATAACACAATACTGTGACATGAACAAGTAGGTACTGTATGCGACTGAGATGACCTGGGTGTGTATTGTTCACGACATGTACGGCTTGTGCATTCCTGCCTTCGTATTGGTGGTTACACCCGGTCTTTGACATCTGACAGTGATCAGGTAGACACGCAAGGTAACTGCCATTTGATGTGAAGCGATCCTGCATCTAGCCCATGGTCTCAGAGATTGCCGTCAGTTTTTCACAAAGGTGGGATGCTTTAAAGTACAACTTTAAAACAAATCTTGAAGACAGCTGTCTATTGGGAAACATAGTTCACGCTGTTTCTGAGAAAGTTTAAATTTTGTACTATGGTAACGTGTGGTGCAATGTGTGCTTTGCTTCGAACATGTTTTGCATAGTTGCTTACTAGTAGTGGCAGAGGCCTGATGAGCTCAGAGCTAAAATTTATGTCTGTTTTTCCAACATTTGTAACATGCACAGTGTATTAGATGCGGAATGGTTCATATTACGTTATGCCACTGTCAGTGTCACCTAGCTTTCTGAAGGGTATGTCAAAACTATATATATATATATATATATATATATATATGTGTGTGTGTGTGTGTGTGTGTGTGTGTGTGTATGTGTGTGTGTGTGTGTGTGTGAGCTACTGGGTATTATATTTGCCTTCCCCGAATTTAGCATAATACACAGGAGGTTAAACTCATACCGGCACCCAATTTCCCGTACTCTTGGAGGCGTTCTGTTTACATAATACTTAATGTGTTAGGCAAACGAGAGGCCTCTTAAAAGTAAGAGGTAAACAAAACGCCTTCAAGAGTACGGAGATAAGAAGACCAAATACTTTCGTACTCCAGTTGCGTGAATAAATTACTTTTATCAAGGGCAAGGATATGAGACCATAGGAAACAATAGGATGTTGTATCTCCGACATGACCGATCAGGTCTTGTTGCGGCAGGGATGACTTGGGGGTATCGTACCTTCAGGGCTTGTGAACTCTTGCCCTTGTCAGGTACTCCGGTCCTTCACATCTCAATAGTGATCGATCAGGTAGTAGACGCACAACATATTTTACTCAGGGCTGTCACTGGGGCGAAGCGACCCCGGGCCTAGTCATTGGCGCAAGGTGACCCTGGGTCTCTAGAGAAGCACTGAATGGTTTTTAAGATTGCCGTTCGTTTTTTCCCATAAAGATGGCAGCTTTAATTTTATAAACAGTTTATGCAAATCTTGAGGACATTGATAATTAGTGGCGGAGGCCTGGGCCCAGGGCTAATGTTATCTATGGTTACCAAGAGTGCACGCGCACTTTACTCTTTAATCATCCTGCATGTATTAACAAACCCATCTCAAATAATATTTTTGAAACATCACAAAGAAACAAGAAGAAGTCGAACCTCTGTATTAGGGTAGTTTGGGAGGTGATGATGTTAGAGTAGTATCGGTAGTCCTGTCTGTACTACAAGCATGTATATACCTTTGCATCTGTTAACCTGTACTATAGCATATGGGCATCACATGGGTGTACAATAATTATCTATAACAAAACAACTATTAGATGTGAAACAGGTCATACTACTGTACATGTCAGGTAACAAAGTCAGTCGAAATAATTCAATCTTCGGCTGGAATTTCGATGCCACATAGTTTTAGAGATACAGGTCCCAGGATGCAACACACAGCCCTGTCTACATAGGGTTAATACCATAGAAGGGCTGGCTAGTATCCCAGATATGTAGATTTTGCATACTATCACATTGCTGGAGCGGATTACAATGTGACCGTTTATGCTTAAACTTAAAGGTTAGAATTGCACCGGTGTTCGTATGGGGTGGCACATGTACAGCAGTTAACATACGTACAACAGTAAAATACGCACGGCCTACCTTTTATCTCATGCAGTTTCTTGCGATCGGGTCTCCACCCGCTCAGGATTTGCCATACAACAACTCAGATCTACCCGGCAACCTAATTTTGACTCTAAACCGGTGAACACATTTTGACTCAGCTGAGAAAGGTTTAGACCCTCCCTGTTCCTTCACATCCACAAGGTCTCCAAACTGTACCAAAGTTGTCAAGAAAAGCAAGGATTTTCAAGGAATTACTGTACAATGTTTTGAGGTCTACCCTGCGCATGGCAACTGCGACTACAGACATTCCGTTTTGGGAATTCAGAAGCCGTCAACTGAAACGGAATTAATTGTAATTCAATAAACAGGTGTAACTACATTCCACACCTTGTTTTGGTGCAATGCCCTGTACAGTGTCCTTGTCAAGGACACCTCAGTGCTCAGAACTAACCAAGCAGAAATCACGAATTCGCGAAGTCAGTCGTTTTCAATCTTGGGTCGCTTTCGTCCTGGTCAGTGCCGCGGCTTGTAGTACAGGCATTTATTTGAGAACGGTGAAAGAGAGATCGTTGTTTTTGTTTACATGATGCACATGCAAATTATTTTAAATCATATGAAAATTATTGGTAGGCAAATCAACCAACCCTCACCCGCTTTTTGCCTACCACTCCCTGGCCGTAACGCCATCGCGGCCTTACACTATGCCTCACAACAAACACTGGGAACCACAACAGGTAAGGTCTGAGGAATGGCCGTTTGCTCCTTTTGTGTAAGGCATAACGTTATCAGTGTTATTTGATGTTCCGTAATCTGGAAAGCGGTATTATTCACGGTTGGTTGCAAGGTGAGATATTTTTGTGCAATTTCCCTTAATGAATATTTAGCTTGAAGCGTAGCAGGTTCTCCTGAATTCAACGCTGGAGAGAATCCCACCCACCCATAATAATGGTTTATTTCTTCCAGACTGTATGATACAGAGTACCCATACTAGTGCATTGCCGTATAAACTGCTAGCTATGGGAAACTTTATCAGCTCCGCTAGTACTTGAACGGAATATGTCTTCGCGGTATTTGGTTGGCAAAAACACGGCGAGATGGTGTTGGGGTTTGTTGTTGTGTATACACCTCCGTCGATCAACGTTGGCCATGTTAATTCTATCTTCAGCATCGGCTATGGCTAAACAGTTTTCACACTGGTCCGCCATTATGCGATCGTTCGTTCAGGTAATAATTGCGTTTTATTTCCTCTGTAGGTATCTAATTCACGATTACAAGGAGACTAAACACAGACCACGGCTGAGACAACAACATGGCCGACATCGACCTGTCCTCCGTTCGAACCCCAGCTCTTGTACGGAACCTGAACGACATGCGATCATCAGGATGCTTGACTGACGTCATACTCCATGTTGATGGTATGTCGTTCCCTGCCCATCGAAACGTCCTAGCGGCAGCCAGCCCGTACTTTATGGCCATGTTCACCAAAGGGCTCAAAGAAGCCCGGAAGAAAGAAGTTCCCATCTACGGTGTTAGCAAGGAAACCATGGCTCACGTTTTAGACTTCATTTATACCGGGAAAGTTTCACTCAGAAGTGACAGTTACAAAACAGTACAAGATCTTGTCCAAGCTTCGGACCTACTCCAGATTGTTGACCTTCACCGTGTATGTGAAGAGTGGCTCGTCAAGCGGGTCGTCCCGGCAAACTGTATCTCTCTGTACCTCCTCGCGCGCACCTACAACTGCACGGAGTTAGCTCAAGCCGCCCAGTGGACGCTTGTTTCCGATTTCTCCGACGTCAGCAAGGGGAGCGAATTCCTTAATCTAGAGCTGTCCCAGGTAATAGAACTGGTATCAGACGAATCTTTAGTTGTACATGAGGGCGCGGGCATTTTCGATGCCTTGGAGAGATGGGCAAAGCACAATGGCACAGACGGAGACGGTGTCGGCGAACTCATTAAGTCTGTGAGGTACCACCACGCCCTGGAGCTTATGTGCTCACGACAGAAGGTGTCAGGGAACCAGGTGCTCAGAGATATTGCAACTGCTACAGAAGTGTACAAGACAGCTGCCCAGGTGCAGGTAGCCCTGACGAATGCAGTGAGGAATCCACAGTCGCTTGGACTCATCTCAAGATTACCATTCGGTACGAGGAGGCCCGACATAATTGTCTCTGCGTGTAAAAGTCGCATTTGTGACGGTCTGCAATTATACGAAGCCCATACTAAGACCAAGTATCGCCTTCCCACGCCCTACCTCGCCACTGAAGTCAGCATCATCGTGTCACAGGACAACAAACTGTATGTAGCCGGTGGAGTTCTGAAGGATTCGACTGTGAAGGATTTGGGTACGAACGTTAAGGTCAGGGCCTCTGCGAACTTTTATGTCTATGACAGTCTTCACAACAGATGGTGGGAAAAGGCGCCAATGCATGTTACCAGGTTTGATTTTGCACTAGCTAGCGGTGGCAAACATGTGTACGCTATTGGCGGCAAGTCCTCTCCAGGCGGCCAAGCGTTGGCTGATGTCGAAATGTACGACCCCGAGAAAAACACTTGGCATATGACGGCACAGCTTCCCTGTGGCCTGAATGGTCACCACGCTGTTACAATAGACCTCGACATTTACGTCCTGTGTGGTTTCGACAGCCCGAGAGGCAAAGATGTGTTCTGCTACCAAACGTTGACGAACACGTGGACCAACGTTGCACCAATGCCTGCTGTAAAGAAAATCCACGGCGCGGCAGCTGTAGGTGGCAAGATTTACACGGTACTATCGTCCTGGAAGAATTCATCTTGGACGCCGACAACCATGGCGATGTACAACCCCAAAACGGACAAGTGGGAGGAGGATGAACATTTCTTTCCAGAGGAGGTAGAAGTGGCGGTGGGACCGGCGGCTGTGGAGGACAGGCTGTATCTGTGCTGTACGGGAGGCTTGTACGTTTTGCAGCCGACAGGCTTCCCGTGCCCGCTGGACCAGTGGCGTCTGCACGACAAGAACATTCTCCCGCCTCCGGGACAAGCAAGCTTCCACGTCAGGGCAGGATGCGCTCACATCGATGTCGATGGGTTAGACGTTATCGCTTAGTGACGGAATTAGCTCACAAAAGTGCAAGTGCAAGCGATTATATCTCTGACAATTAAAGACCTGAAGCACCAGCTCCGAGAACACGCAAACACGTCTGATTCACGTCTGATGATGGGTTCACTGAGACCACATAATCATTGGGAGCAACGGCCGACGGGCGGCCGGGCGAACCATGCTTTCTTTCAGACAGGACATTTCGCTAAATGTCGCTAGATGTCACTGTTGACTGGTTGATCCTTTCATCCATGGATGCTTCCGTGCTCCTATACTTCGTCCAGTCGAAAAGGTCTTGTTCCGGAAGGATACTGACATGCTATTCGAAAAAAAAAAGATGTGAACCTAACAGAGAGTATCATGATGCAAGCGTTTTTATGAAAAACAATAACCGTCATTGTGTTATAAAGATCACCTCTTAGCATATCCACCACTATGAACATGTAATGTGTATCACCGTCACTGCTACTGTTTGGACATTAGCCAATAGAGTAGATTATAATGCTTTGTACATGAAGCCTATGATTCTGACACAAAGAAAAATATTTCTAAACATGTTCAACACGTACATTTTCCTGTCTGACTAATATAGGAAAAGTCATTGCTCCAAATCACGTGGCCACTAACTACAACAGGTCCAATGTAGCTCAGGTCACGGTCGCGTTCAGATTCTGTGATCTTTTCTGCTGTGTCAAACTCTGTTTGTTGCTTTCTGTGGAAAAAAAAAGAATACACATGTACTAATCTCCAAACAGATGCTAGGGTGACAAAAGACAGTATCAAATTGCCCAGGCAGTATCCATGTGCCAGAGCAAGTCCAATACGTCCCTCTCTGTCGGCCTGGATACTGCCTGGAAAATTTGATATGATGCTGTCTTTTGCCACCCTAGGATCTGCTTGGAGATAACACATTATGTACAACAGGAGGGGGAAAGAGGGCAAAAAAAATAAAGCATAAAAGTTAACTACAAAATTCTTATTCAGTCAATGATGATTGGTGTTATCATTCAAGTGTGTACCTTCCCATGTTCTCGGCGTCTTCAAGTGTATCCGGCAGAGGGATTCCGAACGTCTCCGGCAGACTGAAGACTCCGGCGCCGCCCAGAGTGCTGAGAACCCCGAACGTGAGCATGGGGAGGGGCGGCCACACGTCAGCCAGCAGGGACACGAACGGGGACAGGATGCCGCCCACACGGGACGACATGTTGGCCACACCCACACCCATCGTCCTGTAGAAACAGAAATTACTTGTAGTTCGGCTGATAAGGTTGTTCGTCATCTGATTGTCGACACTTTATTATATCCAGGATTGCAAAACGACGAGGCTTATGTATAGCATTAGGACAACATAAAACTGGGGGTAGGGGTCATACACATATACGGTATAAACATCCCTTAATTCTAAGGACCCAACGAAGTGAGTGAGCGGATGAGAGAGCGAGTTAGTGAATGAAATTGGTCGTTTGCTTCAGGTGCACCGCGATGGGACCGCCCTACCTGACCACGGTGGGGAAAACCTCCGGGGTGTACACGGCCAGGGTGGTGAAGACGACTCCAATGGCACACCGACCAAGCAAGGAAAGATACCGGATGACTTCCTGCAGCTCTGCAAAATAATGTTACATCGATATCATATACACTAAAGAAGCTATGCAATTGAAAGATGTTGAACCATGGAGGGTGTCGTTAGATTTGTATTCCTATGTCTCACAAGTCATGTTTTACAGAGAAAATAAAAACTGAGACACCACGTATCATGGCCAAATATGATTAGCTGGATGAAGGACGTGCACATCAATCTGTTTAAGGCCCCTGTCACATACGACAGGGTTGTGAGAGCAACGCGTCAACAGACTAGTACTGTAGGAAATAGCAGTCGTGGATTTGTCGTGCATGACGAAAAGGGTTCTCGTGTTGTCGTAGACCCTTGTAGATGGTCGGTTCTGTCTTATACGTCGTACGATTTGATGTGTGCTAGAACATTCAACGAGGTTGTACTACATGTATGTGCCCACCTGTTGGTGTTGCTGCCACTGCCAGACAGGCGGCTCCTGACAGGAACAGATATCCACCAATCACAGGCCTCCTCCCCCACTTCTCCATGGCAACCAAACCCAAAAGGGACAGCCCGATCTCCAGCAGTCCTCCCAAGACGAAGTTCAGGTAAGGGTCACCAGCCAGGTCGGCAGAACCGATGGCTAAGGCGTAGTACACAGCCACTGTGGCAAACCTAAAAAAGATCAAGACGTAAACAGACCTATGACCTGTGTATCATTTGTGTACCATTTCTTTGTAGAAAAAGAAACCTTAAAAGATATCGGTTGTATTAACCATCATTGCCACCTAAGCTGGTGAGTACAAATTGTACATATTTGGGTCAAGGAAAAATGTATGCAAGTAAGCATTGTAATACTATTGTAACACTATTGTAATACTTAAAAAGTACGTATATATGTATCATTGGTACACTGTACCCCTTACCAGACTGAAGACATCGTTATTGTACTCATCCTCAGACGAGGACCCCGGAACAGGTCGATCAAACTGTACTTCTTGGATTTTTCCCCAGGTTCCTTGTCCTTCGGTTTTGTCAGTTTATCGTAGACATCATCTGGAATGGTGACCTTGTTGACCTTGGCAGCCTCCTGAATGTTGATTCTGGCTTCTTCGGTCCGGTTGTTACTCAGGAGCCATCGCGGAGACTCAGGGAGAAGCCTGCGAATGACAATGCACAGAACGATAAAGAATCGTGGATTTCGTAGCCTCCTGGTATAAGCGATGAGGCACAATGCAACTTTGCAGGTCGGAACCAACCAGTATGTCGGTTATGATACCGTATACTATTGTAAATGAGGTTTCAAATGAACGTACCACCAGTACGAGAGCACTGCTGGTGCTGATAAAAGTGCCAAGGCCAGCTGAAGGCTCCACCAATCCCGCAGAAAGTACGCAAGACCCCCGAGAACGACTGAACCAACGGACCAACTCAGCGAGATCGTCATTCCCACCGCATTGCGCTTGGACGAGCCGATAACTTCTATGACTGGACACAAAAAGTGGGAACACGTCAATCATCAATGAAGGCAGATTAGTTGTGACAGAGTTGCTAAGTAAGAATTACTCCAAGTATTAAATCTCTCTTAACGAATCGAGTGAGGTGAGAATCAAACTTAGTCTACCTAGGGTTATGCCCACATAGATGAGACCGTTGGCAGCGCCGCCGGCAAGCAAACGGAGAACAATGAAGGCGATGACATCTTTGGTGAAGGCAGCAGCAAGTCCAGAACTCAGCTGCAGAAGGATGCAGGCTAGAACCGTTGGACGGCGTCCAAATCTGACGAAACATACAAAAATTGGGATTACTTTTATTGACTGTAATTTCAAGTGAAATGTTTCAGTGTAGGCTCTTGACAATGAGGAGCAGATCTGATAATGTCTGTTGCATGCATGGTGACATATTGCTCTCTTGCATAATGTATCATTTGAAGTAGCATGTGAATTAAATGGACATATTGAGTTGCGTTTGGTCTCTCGTAGAAGACTTACGAAACTACAAGTGTCCGTGGGAAGAAGGTGTTTCTGTTTTCTTCCAGAGAAAAAGGGACATATGTACCTGTCCGATGCCGTTCCTGAGATTAGTCCCCCGGCGCTCACCCCCACCATGAAGATGGACTGTCCCAGTTCCTTTAACCAGTGGCGCCCACACACAAGGTCGTACTTGTGGGAAAATGCAAATCATATCTAACCATTACTAAAAAAAAATCAGCGCAAAACAGGGCATTTTGGTTAAACGCACCTGCACTCAAGATGGTTGCCTGAAATAGGTATTATCATTATTATCATTGCCCCCCCCCTCCCCCCTGTTTGTGAACGGTCAACCATTGGTATGACCTACTTTTAGTACCTCGAGTATCTTGACCTACAGTTCAGGACATATAAAACCTGCAATTACTGCTGCAGCATCTTAGAAAGCAGCTAGAATTCCCATGATTGAACTTGACCTTCGTATTCCCCACCCCAACCTACCGACAATTTGTACTATATATGGCGAACTTACCTCTGTGACAACAGTGCTGTGATATATGCTCTGGTCGTACTCCCAGCCGTAGATACACGATATTACTGTGAGGTTATCCCCTGTTGCTGTTCCACCACTTCTGTTGTACATCAAACACGAGCTGAACCTCGACGTACCGTCCACGTTTTCCATGGGAATACTGACATTGAGTCTACCGGAGGGGTGGCCATACATGCCCGAAGAGTTGTTTTGGTAGAGCCGACAGTGGTGACCGGGAGTAGCCGCCAGAAAAGCCTGGGCGAGCATTGTCGCGCCGACAGACGGACCGACCAGGATGATGAGCACAGCTGCCAGTTTCTGGTACCTGCCGAACTCACCGAGGTACTGCCGCAGTACATCTTCGTACTCCATGATGACCCAGGGTATCAATGGTTAAAAGACCTAGGACCTTCGTGGTGGTGGAGATTAGTCAAGAGAATTTGTTGGTTAATATATAAACAAATCTCGCATTTTGACAAGGAAAGGGTAAGGTCCATGCAGTCCAGACAAAACACGCTCGCAAAATGACCTCTGGAGTTGAATGAACCCTAGTACCCTGCTAATTTCACTAATTACACTAACAGGAGTATCTATGTGGATTTACATCTATCTATGTGGATGTAACGACATTAAAATGGAAAAGCGTCGTTGTCAAATTTGTAGAAAATCTAAAATTTTGTGAAAAATGTTTTGTGAAGAATGTTTTTGATCGACACAAAAGGGGTCAGTCAGAGTTTAGGGACAATGAGAAATTCTTGCATAATTTAACGGCTAGTGAGCATCTAGGGCAGATCACACATTTGTCAAAAAGGCTGCTTTCACATTTTTCTAAAAGTCTCGCTTTCAGATGTTTGGCATGTATAGTCACATCGTTTTAACATTTAGGGCTTGCGTGAATTCTTCATCACTTCTTAAAGAACATATAGTGATCAGGTAGACACACGAGATTTTTTACTCAGGTACTCAGGGCTGTCACTGGGGCGAAGCGACCCTGGGCCTAGCCATTGGAGCGAGGTGACCCTGTGCATAGAGAAACTTTGCATCCGTTTTCTTACACAAAGATGAGTGCTTTACGTTTATATTACGGTACAACTTATGCAAAACTTGAAGACAGCTGCCTGAGAGAGTTGTTTTTTGTGCTACTAGTGCAACAAGTGTTCAATGCTGTCATTTCTGTACGGCAGCTATGGTTGCGTGGGGCTCATCTGAGCTTTACGGTTCCCCAACATATGCAACATGCATGTGTACAATATATTAGAGCTGTGAATCAGGTCATATTCAAGACACCACAGCCAGTTGAAGAAATTTGATCTTCGTTTGAAAATTAGGTACTCTTTACCTACATACTTTTAGACAAACAGGTCCAACAACGCCCGATTTAAACAGGGCTGGCTATTCCCAGCTTTGTTGATACTGCTGCATTGGTTTACAATGCGCTCGTTTATGCTTAGGTCACAGTTGCAACGGCGTTAACGTCGGTTCAACAGTTAACAACAGTAAAAATACGGTCTACCTTTGATCACAGTTACCCAGGTACACATCAGTCCATCAAGGGCGTTGCCATGCAGCGGCTCAAACCTGTCCGACTATTCCCATTTTGGGCATTCAGCAGCTTTAACGCGGAAATAGAGCGTAACTGCAAGCGATTACATCTCAGACAAATTAAAGACATGAAGCACAAGCTTTGAGAACAAGAAAACGCGTCACGTCTGACCGTGTGTAAAAGTCCGTGCATGAGTGCCGATTGGCTTCGCTGCTTATGACAACACATTACATGGATAATATTTCACTCAACACATTACATGGATAATGTTTCACTGTACAATTTGCTAAAATTGTACCAGCTTATGCTAAAAAGATTCTAGTCCTAGTCTATCTGAATTTATGCTTGTACAATAATCATCAAAACTATGTTATGCAGTAATATTACTCAGAACCTCTGTTTTTATCTAACGTACAATGCATGTCCATGCCATTCTATTGTGCGTACCATGCCACTACTCCCAAACTCTTAAACACATTGAATCATTTAGTTTGACAAGTGCATTGTTGCAGTTCGTTACACCGATCTCTTAGCCAGATGGCTCATAAAATCGTCAGACTTCATGCGTCGTATCGTAAATATCGCTATTTTCCAGGTGAGTCTTTTCTAGGAGCGGCCAAAACAGACACTTAGACATGTCAACAAACGTTCGATGATCGGGCTGTTTGTTTTTTTATATTACCAAATTTTTCAAATATCTGTAAATGTGTAAAACATGTACATTTTCCTGTCTGACTACTAGAAAAAGTCATTGCTCCAGATCACGTGACCACTAACTACAACAGGCCCAATGTAGCTCAGGTCACAGTTGCGATTGGGATCGGTGATCTTTTCTGCTGTGTCAAACTCTGTTTGTTGCTTTCTGTGGAAAAAAAATAGAATACACATGTACTAATCTCCAAGCAGATCCTAGGGTGGCAAAAGACAGTATCAAATTGGCCAGGTAGTATTCAACCGCCAGACTTGGTCCAATACGCCCCTCTCTGGCATCTGAATACTGCCTGGATAGTTTGATGCTGTCTTTGCCACCCTAGGATCTGCTTCGAGATTACACATGTACAACGTAAGCAGGGAGAAGTTCGTAACTTGGAAGCAGTACAGCGACGAGCAGTGCGCTTTGCCCTCCATCGCTATCGACGCCAGTCTAGTGTGACAAATATGTTGTCTTCACTTGAATGGCCCCTGCTTGTGGAGAGGAGGCGTAGAGCTAGGCTGATCATGTTTTTCAAAATTACAAACAATATCGTAGCCACACAGATGCCTCTTGTCACTAAAGGACTGTCAACTGCATCACGCACAGAAAACAGTCTTGCCTTCCACCCTCCATTTTCACGTGCAGACTATCACTTAAACTCATTCTTTCCAAGAACAGTCAGAGACTGGAACAAACTTCCAGAACACATAGTCAAATCCAAGACCCTACAAGCATTCAAAAATGCCCTAAATAACCTTTAGTCTCCCATCCACAATACGGGTACTCACCGCTACCCACTTGCAGGGTGGCGGACAGGGAGTAGCGCCCCTGCCCATTGAGGAGCTGGGTCTCCTCCTCATACTCACGCCATACAAACAAGAAAGCGACCACCCCTCACTCACCCCCCCCCCCCCATGTCATGAGCCTTCAACTTAATGAAGTTTGACATGTACTTTGAAGAAGAAGAAGAGAAGAGAAGAGGGTGAAAAATAAAACATAAAATCAAATATTAAGATTGTGATTACATCCAAGACGATTAGCCTTATCATCCAAAAGTGTACCTTCCCAAGTTCTCGGCGTCTTGAAGTGTATCCGGCAGAGGGATTCCGAACGTCTCCGGCAGACTGAAGACTCCGGCGCCGCCCAGAGTGCTGAGAACCCCGAACGTGAGCATGGGGAGGGGCGGCCACACGTCAGCCAGCAGGGACACGAACGGGGACAGGATGCCGCCCACACGGGACGACATGTTGGCCACGCCCACACCCATCGTCCTGAAGAAACAGAAATTATTTCATATTAGCTTCGTCATATCCCAGATTGTAAATGGACGAAGTCGGATGCTGTCTGTAGCATTAGGACAACATTAACTTGGGGGCTGGTCATACACGTATATACGAGTTATTGCTGTTTCTGTTTATATCATGTACATGCAAATTATTTTTAGACTTTTATGCAAATTATATGTAAGCAAATCACTCGACTGTCGCTCGCTTTTTGCCTACCACTCGCTGGCCTTGCCACCACGGGGACCACTCGTATATGGTATAATGGTCCCTAAATTCTAAAGGCCCAAGGTGACTATGCGAAGAAAAGAGCGAGTGTCGAGTAAATGGCTTATGCACAATTCAAGTGTACATGTTTGGTGATTCTACCTGACGACGGTGGGGAAAACCTCCGGGGTGTACACGTCCAGAGTGGTGAAGGCGGCTCCAATGGCACATCGACCGACCAAGAACAAATATCGACTAACTTCATGTAGCTCTGCAACGTAATGTCACGTAAATTTATTACTAAAGAAACTATGCAATGGAAAGATGTTAAGCACTGGGAATAAGTGAAAACTTTTAAAAGTATCCGTAGATTTGTTTTCCTATGTCACAATATATGTTTTACAAAGAGGGATAAACTAAAGACTGACACCAAGTACAAATGTACAAACATTTAATGACCGAATATGATTAGAAGTATGAAGTTTTTTTGTTATATATTCCAACATGTAATCACAAGACGTGGTGACGGCACACACAAAGTTTTTTCAACTTATATCAATGCCGCCACAAATACAGGGACAATACAATACTCATTTTCACCTGAGCGAAGTGAGAAAAGTAAAGACGTTTCCAAGGGCACAATATCGGTGGCATGTCAGGACTCGAACCCAGGACCTCTTGGTTCCGAGCCAAGTATTCTGCCGCTACGCCACACGACCCCACACGACAGGAGTTGCGAGTTCAAAGTGTCGACAGACTTGGGAAATAACAGTCGTGGATGTGTCATGTTAATTAGACGAAAAGGGTTGTCGTAGATTCCTGTCGATGGTCAGTTCTGTCATATACATGATACCAAGGATGTCTTTGGTTCAACAAGGTTTTGACTTTAGAAAGCTTCATAAAGGATGTGTGTGTGCCCACCTGTTGGAGTTGCTGCCACTGCCAGACAGGCGGCTCCTGACAGGAACAGATATCCACCAACCACAGGCCTCCTTCCCCACTTCTCCATGGCAACCAAACCCACAAGAGACAGCCCGATCTCCAGCAGTCCGCCCAGGACGAAGTTCAGGTAAGGGTCACCAGCTAGGTCGGCAGAACCAATGATCAAGGCGAAGTACACAGCCACTATGGCAAACCTACCAAACAGTCAAGCAAGACGTTAAAAGGCAAGAAATGTATATCATTTTTTGTGCCGTTTCTGCGAAAACGACCAATGTCCTTTGTTTAATTGTGACGTCACCACTGGGCCGACATCGTTTATAAATACCTTTGACCCAATATTGACGTCACACTTCAGACAAGCCACGTGACAAGTCTCATTGGGTCAATCTACGAAGACCAGTGATTGGTGACCAATGACTGGTCGAAAGGTCTAGGTGAAAACATTTTTTTTTAATGTTGGCACAAACGTTTTGTATTCAAACATATAACTATGCAACACAGACGTTTTCATGATAGCACTATTGTTCAGCATGATTATAATTCTTTTGACTATATGTGTTCACTCTTTCTCTGAATCTCAGATATTTTTGCATTCGATAAATGAGGTATCTTCACCTCTGTACAAAATATTGTTCATACAAACTATCCAAAATCATTGTTGTGGAGCCATTGCTTTTGAGTACACATTGGATCTTTTTGAATTTAAGAAAAGTGTTTACAAGAAGGCGAGTAAATATCACTAATATACGAGTGTTGTTGACGTCACACTTTAGAGAAGCCTTGTGACAAGTCTCATTTGGTAAGTCTAGGAAGACCATTAAGATGTATTGTACCCCTTACCAGACTGAGGACATTGTTATTGTACTCATCCTCAGACGAGGACCCCGGAACAGGTCGATCAAACTGTACTTCTTGGATTTTTCCCCAGGTTCCTTGTCCTTCGGTTTTGTCAGTTTTTCGTAGACATCATCTGGAATGGTGACCTTGTTGACCTTGGCAGCCTTCTGAATGCTGATTCTGGCTTCTTCGGTCCGGTTGTTACTCAGGAGCCACCGCGGAGACTCAGGAAGAAGCCTACGAATGATAGTTCATAAGAAGATTGGATTTCCTAGATACAAAATTTCTAGGAAGTCAAAAGACATTTCAAATTTGCTGTGCATTATACAAGGCAACTTAACAGGTCGGATTGAAAGTTTTAAAAAGTCTGCTATGATACCGTACTCTATCATAACTAACTTAAAGGTTTCAAATGAACGTACCACCAGTACGAGAGCAGCGGCGCTGATAGAAGTGCCAGGGCCAGCTGAAGGCTCCACCAATCCCGCAGAAAGTACGCAAGACCTCCGAGAACTACTGAACCAACGGGCCAGCTTAGCGAGATCGTCATTCCCACCGCATTGCGCTTGGACGAGCCGATGACTTCTATGGCTGGACACCAAAAGTGGGAAAACGGTTGAAAAATAGTTGTGACAGACTTGACTATGTGTAAGAAATATTCAAATGTCAAGTGTTAATTTTTGTACCTTAATGAATGGAGTGAGATGAGAATCAAAGTTTGTCTACCGAGAGTTAAGCCGGCGTAGAAGAGACCGTTGGCAGCACCGCCGGCAAGCAGGCGGAGAACAATGAAGGAAACGAAATCTTTGGTGAAGGCAGCAGCAAGTCCAGAACTCAGCTGCAGCAGGATGCAGGCCAGAACCGTTGGACGGCGTCCAAATCTGACAAAACACACAGATATTTGGATCACTTTTAATGACTGTAACTTCAAGTAAAATGTTTCCACCAGCTGCAGGTACGAGTAGTGGGAGACTGTCGGCAATGAGGGATAGAGTCAACGCATGGTGTATGGAGGAACATTCGCTCTTTTGCTTTACATCAATGAACACAAAGAATGAGAACCATGCAACCATTCGTGCGTAAGCTTCAAGTAGATATTTACTTTGTGCTAGTTTTTTAAATTTTTTGTGTGCATTTTATTGATGTGTGTGACTGAGTCACTGGAGTCGGAGCATGCATCGATCAAAGCAGACTAAAATCTCAAAGTAAAGAACATTTTAGGCTATTAGTTTCAGATGACTTCTCATGGTGATAATGTGGTGCTATATTTGACATTAGGCAAAAAAATTCCGCAACTTGATTTTCTTTAAATGATCTTCTCAGACTCAGAGAATGAAAACACTTTGCCCAAAGTTGCAACATAAAAGTCTTGGCAACATACACTGATATGTGTCTATACTACAAGGATTTCTATTGTAAAGAAGCAATTTAGTCCACAATGTAGTTGTAAATGTACAAAGTAAAATGTTTTTGAGTGATGACCCCAGATGCCTTCATGGAATACCATTCCAACTGGCAGATGAAATAAAGATGTGCCACCCCTTTGTACATGACTGAAAAAAAAAACACTTGAGCAGACGGTGAGAACACTGTGTTTCTCTTTTCTTCCAGAGAAAATGGAATGGAACATTTGTACCTGTCCGATGACGTTCCTGAGATGAGTCCCCCAGCGCTCACCCCCACCATGAAGATGGACTGCCCCAGCTCCTTTAACCAGTGGCGCCCACACACAAGGTCGTACTAGAAAAATGCAAATCATATCTTGAACCATTGTAAAAAAATCAGCGCAAAACAGGGCATTTTGGTCCAACGCGCCTGCACTCACGCGCCTGCCTTAGATAGGTAAAATGACCGAACGATGTAAAGGTGTCATGTTGTTTAGGGTATTATTATTATCATCATTGCCCCCTCCACCCCCATTGTTTGTGACCGGTCAACCATTTGTATGACCTACTGTTAGTACCTCGAGTGCCCTGACCTACAGTTCAGGACAGCGACATATAACTTAAAAGACCTGAAATTACTGCTGCAGTATCTTAGAAAGCAGCTAGAATTCCCATGATTGAACTTGACCTTCGTACTATCAACCCCAACCTACCGACAATTTGTACTATATATGGCGAACTTACCTCTGTGACAACAGTGCTGTGGTATATGCTCTGGTCGTACTCCCAGCCGTGGATACACGATGTTACTGTTTGCTTATCCCCTGTTGCTGTTCCCCCAGTTCCGTTGTACATCAAACACGAGCTAAACCTCCACGTACCGTCCACATTTTCCATGGGAATACTGACATTGAGTCTCCCGGAAGGGTGGTCATACATGCCCGATGAGTCGTTGTGGTAGAGCCGGCAGTGGTGCTCGGGAGTGGCCGCTAAGAAGGCCTGGGCGAGCGCGGTTGCGCCGACAGACGGACCGACCAGGATGATGAGCACAGCTGCCAGTTTCTGGTACCTGCCGAACTCACCGAGGTACTGCCGCAGTACATCTTCGTACTCCATGATGATCCTGTGTATCAATGGTTAAAAGAGCTAGGACCTTCGCCCGGGTGTATGACACATCTGGTTCGCTCGGAGATTAATTGGAAGAAGAGTTTGTTACTATGTAAACGAATCTCGCAGGGGTTATGGTCCACGCAGAACAGACATTACACGCCCGGTCGATGACCCTATTCGGTGACCCTATTCAATGGACTTAAACTAACATTTGTATAAATGTGACATCTATGTGGATTTAGATCTATGTGGATGTAACGACAGTAAAATGGAAAAGTGTTCTTCTTTCAAATTTGTAGAAAATCTAAAATCGTGTGGACAATCCAGAATTGCGCAAACCTGCAGCAGAATGATTTTTGATCTACAGAAAAGGGGTCATACAGAGTTTAGGGACAGTGGAAAATTATTTGGCGTCCTTGCATAATTTAAATATGGCGTCCTTGCATAATTTAATGAGCAAGTAGGGCAAGCACGTGCTCAAGAACGCTGCATTCACAATTTCCCCAAACTCTCGCTTTCACATGTTTGACATCGTTTTCACATTTAGGGTTTGTAAATTCTTCAATATATGTCAATAGTGATCAGGTAGACACACAAGATATTTGACTCAGGTACTCAGGGTTGTCACTGGGGCGAGGCGACCCTGGGTCTAGTTATTGGGGCGTGGCGACCCTGGGCGTAGCATTGCATGTTCGTTACGATTTCTACCCGTTTTCCTCCACAAAGATGGGTGCTTTGAGTTAACGATACAACTTATGTAGATCTTAAAGGAAGTTGTCTGATGTTTTACTAATTTTCTGAGAAAGTTATTAGTTTCTTTCGTACCACTAGTGCAACAAGTGTTGAATGATTTCATGTTTGTGTGTATGCTATGGTTAAAACAGGTTTTCCATGATTCGGGGCGGAGGCTTGATGCACCACAAAGCCCGGTCTAAATAGGGGCAATACCATGGAAGGGCTGGTTAGTATCCCTACCTTGGTTGATACTACATATCCTTTTGCTTCACTTAATTACAATGCGCCCATTAATACTTAGGACACAATTGCAACAGTTAACAGCATTAAAACACAGCCTACCTTTGATCTCTTTCTCAGGTATCCATCAGTCCATCCGGTGCTTGCCAGGCCCAGTCAAACCTGTCCGACAAGTTACGCCAAACTGCTTAGCTGAACACGTTTTCTCCAAACTGAGAAAGTGAAGACCCTACCTTTCCCTTCTTACCCTCAAAATTTCC